TAACCTTATGTATTAGGTCTATCACTATCACTGGTCGCGACTTAAAGGTCAAGCTGAAAGGTTAGAACGTGTCTTATAAGTGTATCTAGAAGAACTGTGTTTTGTGAAAGGTTTATATTATAGGTAGTGTGTAAGGCTACACCAGGCGCGGGTACAGACAGGGATACAGCGGTGTGAACCCGATTGGCATTCTTATTTTTTTTATATATGTATACTACCATATACACAATTCTCGTTATATTGTCCACGTAAGTGACGTAAATAGTTTTGTCAATTCTGTATTAACTTGTAGCTATATATTTTAGAGGTGTAAATTCTCTCTTCGGATATAACAGACTTCGAATGATTCTTCAATTCTTTAGATACCGGAACATAAATATACATATATCGTCATACAGTACTGACAGGCCAGTTACTGCACTTAGTAAGGGATCCTAACTAGTGACTGCCTTCAATGTACAAATGTTGTAATATTTAAGGAAAATCAGATAAAAAGATAAAAGTAAATGTAATTAAAACTGATGTCGATAGATGAACAATGCATAAAAGATTAAACAATATAATAAATCAACAAAAACAATAGATGGGATTAACGTCGTTACCATGACGGCTTGAAAAGTGGTGACAAGTTAACGACTTACTGACCTTAAAGTGGTTAATTTAAGAAGCATTAATTATATTAGCGATAGCAGTTTATCACACCATTATAATATCTCATTCTTCATTGATTTATTCATTACACTATATTGGTTTTCACCCCTCCCCCTTTTTCAAACTTCCTGCTTTAGTTTCTCCATAATATCTTTTCAGTATGTGAATTGAGTGCAGACTATGATTCTCAGTTCCCAGTACAAATAAACATGTATTAGCTTCCCCAAATGGGTAATCATAATTTCGGACTATTTTACGATATAAGATAAAGGAAGAAAAAGAAACACAATAAAATAAAACATTAATTCGTGTACGCAGTTGTTTAAAACGGCATAAATTTAATGTTGAGCAGAAATTTAAATATGAAAAACAAGGGTATAATTATTAATTAACAGGTATTATAAGGCATAACCCAGAGGACAATTTGCGCCCCATTCACACTTGCGCTCAGATGGTCCGTGAATAAAATACTTTACCATGAATTAATAACATAAATCAAAAGTTATATGACAATGATTCTACAACAATGCTTTGACGATTACACCCTTTAAATCGGGCTATATACATGCATAATATAACATTTTTTTATCACAATCTTTCCCCACTTGAAAAAAAAAAAACCCTCATATTTGGCACATTGCCAAGGTTAAAAACATTTTTGTATAAATATTTTCGTTCACTAGGATTAAAGCACTGTATTTAGCCTAATCTATGTAAAAAGATATTGTTATATAACACACTTTATAGATGATTCGGGCGCCAAATATTAATGGATATAAACCGGCTCGGTTTACATGATATACTAATAAGTAAAATGATCAGATCTATATTGTCGTCTGGTGAATAGGATAATTCCATCGGTGTTAATCTTGTCTAGAAACGGATTTATAACGCATGTGCTCAACAAAGGGGGGTATTTGTCTTCTAGAACATCTGATATCAATCCCTAAAAACTGTGCATGTGTAGTTCGTTGGAGAATTTGAACGTCTAGAGACATCTATAGCAAAGGTTTATTCTTGACTGATTTACTAAGTAGGTTTTTTGTGTGGGTCTACCTTGCAGTCAATGTGGATGTACAATTAAGAAACGTCTTTATTGAACCAGTTACATTTAGAAGTAGCAATTTCTGTAGCCCATGGTACAGATGAAGTGTATTGGTATTAATAGAGATAATGTGCAGGAATACAAAAGAACAGATATGTCCTGGGGGTAACAAAGGATGGTGCGGAAACACTGGAAACAATGCTATAAATAAATGGTTATTTCCTACACTTGCTAGGAGTCCTTCTGGCGTAGTATTGCATTTCATTATTATTACAATATAATATGATGTTTTGTCTTTCATTAAATTCCCAAAGTAGTCTGAGCAATTATGTATTGTCACTAAGCACAGTCGTCTTGTTCCATCCACTGTTGCACACTTCCAGCCATAAATAATATAAAATAAAATAAAACAATGGCACATGGTAGAGACACATAAATCAGTGTTCGATATATTGATGTAGTATAGTAAAATATAGAACACCTCAAGCGGTAACTTTACCCCAATGTTTTACCTTAGCCCTTAGGCCTATTACCGATCCCAAGGGCAATATACATTGTAGGCTACAAAAACTCTCCCTTACGCCTGACAGCTTTGCCAAAGGTGGGAATTGTTTCCTTACGGGGGTATTTTCTATTTCAAACAGTATGCCATATTCTACAATGCGTTTCGCCATCAGGGAAAGATTACATGCTAATGCCCGGTCGCAATGAAATGTGACCAGTTTTGATGTTGGCGATAATGACATCTTAAAATTATCTATTATAACCCCACCATCTTGTCTATAAGTATTATGTGTTTGGGTCTATACATATCGTATTCTGTCTTATAAAAGAAACAGTTTTAATCGAGACATCACAGGATTAAATTAGGCGATGCTTACTTTCAGGAACACCCGATATCATTATTTTATTTAAAGGATTTGTATTACAAATAAGATTTAAGATCGTATTAGATTTTATTATATTCTGAACACACAGTAATGTTGAATCTACGGTTAGGTCGATACTGTTTATAGACAGACACACCACAAATGAAATGAAATGGGGTTTAACGTCCTACTGTTCTGTTCCGACTGGGCTAATGAGCAGGAAACAGATAGAAGTCTGAGGGAGCTAAATCAGGAGAGTAGGGTGGATGCTGAAAAAGTGCTGACATGGCAACAGCTGATTTATGCACTGGTGCATTTTCCTGGTGGAAAATCACACCTTTGGTCAACTTTCCTCGTCTTTTGGTCTTAATTTCTTGCCTCAACGACTGCCTTATAAGTGCTGCATAGTATCTACCGTTAATTGTTTGACCCTTTTGGGGGTGATCCACCATGAGAACATTCTCAGAATCCCAGAATACTGAGGCCATCACCTTTCCTGCCGATGAAACAGTCTTTGCCTTCTTTGGGGTCGACTACGTCACACGTTTCCACTGTTTTGACTGCTCTTTTGTTTCTTTCTGAAAGTGGTGGACCCAAGATTCATCCATAGTAACAATTTGTTTTAGGAAGCGGTCAGGATCGGTTTCAAATTAGGCTAGATTCTCTTCTGACATGATGTGTCTTGAACGCTTTTGATCAGGCGTCAAAAGCTTTGGCACCATCGTGCTGAAACCATTGTCATTTCCAAAGTTTCAGTGATAATAGAATGAACTCTCTCCTGGCTAATACGAACTACCCCATCTATGAATCGTTCAGTAACTCGCCGGTCATTCATTATCAGATCATGGATTTTTTGTACCATTTCAGGTGTTTACACAGTTTTTGGTCGACCAGGGCGTGGTTCGTCTTCAATGCTGTCTCGGCCACGCTTGAATTCAGCTGACCACCTTTTAATTGTGGCATATGATGGAGCATCATCTCCTAATGTCTCAACCATATCATCATGTATGGCTTTCGTTGTTAGACCCTTTTTATGCAGATACTTAATCACAGCTCTCGCCTCGATATGGTCCATTTTCTGAAAACAACAGACCCTACTTGATTGTTATGACCTGTCACAACCAAACAGCTTAACCGAACGTGATGAAAGTTTGTGACAAAGCCCGAGGAACGTAATAGTACACGTGCAAAACGTGGTATCATTGTGTTGCACGGTTTTCCAATCGAGGCTCACTACTTATCAATCACCCCTCGTAATCCACAGATATCCAATGAAATGCCTCTAACTTTACAGTGATGCCATGTGTCTTTGAAGTCCTCGTCTCACGGACCTACTTGGTTACTTACATGTTCGTAACAATAATATCAGAAATAAAAAAAATAGTAAGAAAATACAACCCCACCCCCAATTTAAAAGATACAAAACCAAAACAAGGATAAATTTAATCTAATGAAATTGATAATTCTTGTATTGACAATTCATTGCCAACTCAATTCATACTTCGTGTTGACCAGAATAAAATTAGCCTAGTTATCAGAGTCCAAGACCGATCTTAGAATGAATTAACTATAATCTAGTACAAATCTCAAGATTGACGTTGCTTAAAGAACGAAGGGTGTGCACCCCAGGCCATCATAATCTGAGGGCAAACAGCAAAGGCGTGCTGCTCTCTTCACGAAACGTGGATCACGTGGCTAAGTGGGTAAGACGCTAGCTCGCTAGCCTGGGGGTCGGGTGTTCGATCCCTGCATTGGCAGAGAAAGTTCATCCAGATTTTCCGGCGTGGTTCTCCCTTATCAGTGATGCAGGACGGAGGGGCTGACAAGGAAAGCTGTCTAGTCGTTCGGATGGGACGAAAAACCGAGGTCCCGTGTACACATTGGCGTGCACGTAAAAGATCCCTTGGCAGTTGGAATTCGATATAAGAGTAGGCCGTAGTGCCGCTGTCCGGGCAAAATTTCCCTCATAGCACACTGTATGGCGTATGCCCGTCTTCATTAGCCCAGGTTAGGAGCAGAACAGTAGGACGTTAAACTCCATTTCATTTCATTTCATTTCCTTCACGAAACCCCATTTCAACATTGACCTAGAAAATGAACCTCCATCATCTCAACGTTATTGTTATTATTATACATTTGGCTCACCTTTATAGCAGGCCTTAGAATACTAGTTACTACGGTGAACTAAATACCGGTATCTAAAAAAAATTATAGCATATATATACGGGGGAACAATTTACAAGTTTACATGTGTGCACAAACGAGAGAAACTGGTTATTAATTATTAGCTGAAAATCGAGTTACATGTAGGAAGTGGTTATTAAATTGGATACTGGCATTTGGTTTTAGATACGGTAGGTCACTGTGAACTCTGGGCTATACAATTTATCCATTTTACGTCACCTCGATTCAACCTTGAACTTTTGACCCCTAGTTAAACTGTCTCTTGTCTTTACTCATCACTGGTTTGGATTTATGATTTTAACCCCAAATACATTGCAAAAAGGAGTCTTTCAGAGAGTAGTTTGTTAAACAGTATTTTGTATATTCGGGTACATTATTGCCTTGTCTTAGGGTTATATTTACTGGGCTAAACATCTAAATACGGCCAGTAGAGAGAGGAGAGTTTTGTCTGAGCTACGAACTGAATTATGGGTAGCGATTGTGCCCCGTTGGGAATGTGGTAAATTATAGTCCGACATTTTGTGGATCATAAAGGTGAAAATAGACGTCGAAAGTCCTCTTTGGACGGTCATTTGAGCCAAAGGCACCAATGGATCGTTCAGAGATGGGTAAGTCAGGTTATTTTTCCTTCATGACAGCTCAAAATAGAGAAGGTAGCGATCGATTTTGCTTATGTAAGCCGAAATACCATCTGGTTAGGTTGATGTCGGCCATCTTGGAGTCAAAGGAGTTCGTGCACTAAATTACTCTCCCACTTGAAAAGCACCCTAACACCTGCTGTATGTTGTGGCCTTCCGTTGACATGTTATATTCTCTTTTGACTGTTGCATTATGTATAATTTATGTATTTATATGATTCTTTTAAATATTCGTATACAATTTTATAAATTGATTATCACTCAGTGAGTGGCATCGCATTGCTCGATTTACGGCGAGATTTGGTAGAATAAATCCTCGTTTAGTAATACTAATATTAATATTACTAAACGAGGGGCGGGCACATTAATCACAAATCGCCCTTACTACTCAGCCACTAGCCCATTTCAGTATTTGTACAAAATGCATTTGCTCTATACTATTGCGTTATAAGTTTTGTTGGGATTAAACGAACACTTGTTTTACATTTCATGATCCTCCTATCACACCATAAATCTGTGACCTACATACAACGTTGTTAACACTGGCAACAGCACATTTAAATGTGCACAATTATTGTTATAGGTCAGTTCAGCTACTTTGGTATGGTACTGACATACATATAATCATATTATAACCCATGTACACTTCTACATATCAACATCAAGGATTATTTATAGAACACTTAACAGCCGGATTTTTCAGAAATGATTTAACATCGGAATTGTGTGTTGACTGTTATGAAGTGCTTTATCCTACATGTATTCACCCCTTTAACGATTAATACAAAACTAACGATTTTAATGACCATCATCAAATGCTTTTTTTACATTCTCCATTAACATTGTTTCAGGAACAATGATGCATTATTGTCGGCCTCCGTTACATGTGAATCTCTTTCTAATTAGCAACTGCACTTATCTTTTCATTAAGTTTATGCTTACATGTACCTGTATAACATTAACAGTGAAAACTTATCTAATATTTATTGAGCCCCTCCCTGATTCAAAGTAGTATGATTTTTGATAGGAAGACTGGGTTAACTCAAACATGATTTTACTTTACAACTAGTCATGATGACCGTTGTCAACACTCAAGTCACACCACATGCAGTCATACTTTTCATCTCAAAATTTTTGATTGCTGTATAAACACTGATAAAGTAGAAAGTAAGCAGTTTCAATTTAGATAGTTCCTAAATTAATTGAACTAAGTTTGACTTAAACTGTTGTATTTTTGATCTCGTTCATACATGTACACATACATGTAGTATTGTATACTACATGTACTGATGTACATTCCTGAAAATTAGTTATAAAAAAAACACCTTATCTTACATGTATATGCCTTTAAACGTTTATAAGATTGCACCACGCATGTTCTTACTAGTACTACGTCTATGAAGTTCAGAGTAAAATAAATTCATCACAATTTTAATGTTAATAATCTTGTAAAATCTGATGTACACATGTTTCTTAAATTCAACATCCAACCTGATAATGCTTGTATGTAGTTAAATTGCTGTTGTTAACATGTACACACTCATTGTCTTAGCAAAGTTATGTACATCATGCGTAAGCTTAATGAATATATATTATGAGCTCATATTTTGATTCATGAAATAAGACCTACATCAGTACATGTAATATGTTTTATTGCATAGTCAATAGATAAATGTTGTCATCATAATGGTAGTGGGTATTAATTTATTAGTCACTGTTTATTATATAATAACTGATAACTAATTATGATTTCTTTTTTTTTTTTTTCCAGATACCTTAGATGGAAATGTGCATGTAAATGGTAGCATGCACGGGATGCACACACCCAATTCTATGGGTATGAACATGCATGGTCCACCACCAGATATAAAACCTGATATATCAACTCTCGGATCTCCTACCAGTACTCATCCTTACTTTAGTTACGGTCATTTACATGGATTACCAACATCAACACAGCATTCTCCAGGTCCCCCACAGATGCATTCCCCTCCTCTTCATTCTCCTACATCTTCTATGGGTACCCCTCCACTCATGTCGTTGGGATGTCCGTCACCAACAGGAATGCAACCACACACAACTTTATCCAACAAACATATTTGTGCGATATGTGGGGATCGTGCTTCTGGTAAACATTATGGTGTTTATAGGTAACTATTCTACTAATTTAAAGTGAACTTCTATCATCTCATTTAGTTCTGTCCATAATTTTTCGTTCTTGATGAATTGTTTTCATATTTGCAAAGAACCCTGTCGAAATTCAGAATTTTGTGATTGCAAATCATGGATTTATTCTGTCGTTTACATTGATACAACCATGTTGAATCATAATTTTTGGACCATATGCTTATGAATGTAGTAGAGGAAAAATCTCTCAATTATAAATAATTTGTTAAGTCAGTAATGTCCATCTTGAATTATGTTGGGCTCTCTACATGTATCATACCTCAACATTTGACATCTGCGTGGTGTGGCATATTGAATAGTTCTACATTTGCTGAGAAGAGCCGGTGTGGCCCATTGACGGTAAGTCATTGGCTCAACCGGGAGGTCCCCGGATTCAATCCCAGTGTTGGCTGAGAAGTTCTTACAGAATTTTCAGCATGGTTTCACCTTGTCAGTGGTGCTGGATGGGGATGACAGTTAAGATCATTATTTGATTCAAGTCCTGCATAGTAAATGACAGGCACAATATAAGTGTGATTGGGACCTTTTATCCACCCAATTTCCGATAATTGCTTACAAAGTTACTACCTTGATCACTTTTAAAATTATTATTCATGCACTTCTTAAGGCTATGGTTAAACCCAATAGATTTTAAATTTATACATTTGATTTCAACAATTGTCTATAACTCGAACAGCTAAAGTTACATATATCTGATTATCAGTTCATCTTTTGTTCAACAAGTCATTAAATGTTAGCACAAGGATGTACTAGATGCCTATTTACATGAATTATTAAGTACTTGGCAAATTTTAAAAAATCTTATTTTTTGATTTTGTGGTCTAAGGGCAGATAATAATTACAATTTTAGAGTTGTCTCCCTGTTCTTGTAATATTTTTAACCCAATATGTATTTTTTTTTTTTTCTTTCCAGTTGTGAGGGTTGTAAGGGTTTTTTCAAAAGAACTGTAAGAAAGGAGTTAACCTATGCCTGCCGTGATGATAAAAACTGTTATATTGACAAACGTCAGAGAAATCGTTGTCAGTATTGCCGTTATATGAAATGTTTAGCAATGGGAATGAAACGAGAAGGTGAATGAATTTACATTTTATTAAGTCTTATACAAAATTACAAAATAATACATCAGATTTATGCTTAGCATGTTTGGATTGCTACAGCCTGTATGTAAAATAATTTTTTTGGATATTAATATAAGAATTTGAACTTGATTAAAGTAAACTTATAGTAAGTAATAATAATTTAAAGAAAAAGATTTTGAACTTGAATTTATTTACAATGTAATGCTTGCTTTAAACTTTTATGGATTTGTGGTATTCTTTTTTTACCCTATACATGTATGCAATTATATTATTCTAATGCTAAAATTATTGTTCAAATGTAAAACAATTTTAGTGTATGATATTTTTTGGAGCTTATATCTTATTTTTAGAGCTTTTTTAATTATTTAGCTTCTTAGTACTTGTGATGCATTTTAATATTTCAGCTATTTCTATCTCTTAAAAATCTTGATCTAAAATCTAAATTGGAGATGTTAGAATTTTTGTATCTTGTTTGTTTTGCTTAGAGGCAGACACAAGTTCACCAAGTGGTAGTAAGAAATTACGAAGATCTGATTCATACGAATCTAGTGGGTACACTAAAACATGAAATATTCTGTTGAAGTTTGTTTCAGGGACTGTGGGATATAGTTATTAAAATTAATTCTATTTATCCTGCTCATAGAAAATGCAAGGTTGCATGTAGGCCAAAATTTAATTCGAGAAAAGGACATTATTCCATTGGTACAAATAGTAGAGACTTCACTTGTTTTGTTGGGGGGGGGGGTAAATTTATTAGTAAATTGCAAATGAATATTTTTAAAATCAAATCGAATTGATATACATGTATCTATCACCTCCAAAATTTATCAAATGAATTCAAGCAAGATTTTTATTCCTCTATTGTTTCTTTTACTCTTTTTCTCTGACAACATTCTTCTTTTGTACTAATCTGTTAACTATATCCTCTATCTCTTTCCTTTTAATTTTATGTTAGTTCATTTATTTTCTGCATTATGAGTTAGAGTTTTGTTTTCATTTGGATTTTCTTTTGATTTTGCTACTGGTCATCCCATGTTTGTGATATAATATGCAGAGATTTTACTGATGTGTGTCAAGGAACTTGCAAATTAAACATTATCAATATAATAAACAAAACAATCTCAAAGCAAAAATCCAAGCTTGTATTAACTTTAATTTATATAGCAAAAGTGACTTGGCATTGACTTATCTAACTTGACCATATAATTTATGACTTTAAATTTAATAGTTGAAATAAACTTGTTAGTATATAGTTAAACTTGTATAAGTAAATAAAGACTTCTAATGAAAATATAACATTTTCAGTGATAATATAGAATTATTTCTAAAATTAATCTTTCCCTCCTGTCCCCTTCCTCTTCTACTTTTATTATCTGTGTCTAGAATCAGATGTCTCCTCTTAGCACTTACAGAAAATCTCTGAAATACTCAAACTGCAGGACTTGTCACTTCAGTAAATAATCCAAAAAGACTTAACTCTCCTTACTTTGACATTTCAATTTCTTTGTGAAAAAATGGAATTTTTTATTTTTAATTTTGGGTTATTAGTCATTGTAAAGTTCTAACTATTTGATTAGAAATAGAAAATGTTATAAAATTTTGTGGATTTTTGTTGATTGAAGTACACAAAATTTTGTTGTAGCAGATATTAAATTGAAATTTCAAAGTAAAATTACCAAATATTCAAAAAAACGACACAAAATATCACAAGTTCTAACCTCAATCAAAACATGGCATGGCCAAGTTTCTGCTTTTATCTCACCTTCTGACATTGATTTAACGTTGAAGCCGTGCTTCCCACAGCTGTCCAGGAAGAAAGGCAGAGAACTAAGGAAAAGGGTGAAGAGGTTGAGAGTACCAGTAGCGTTAATAATGACATGCCCGTTGAACAAATACTGGAGGCGGAACTAGCGGTTGAGCCAAAAATAGATACTTACATCGACACTCAGGTTAGTAACAAATATGTAGTGGTGATAACATGGTAAAGACACTAGCCTCACAACCAGAAATTTGCAGTTCGAATATTGGTTCAGACTGATAAGAATCTTTGGGATTGAAGGTCCTGTTTCCATTATACATACCGGGGTTGGATGGTTAGCATGTGCGCGCTGTATCATAAAGCCTGTCATTGAGTCAACTGGCATGGTTTCAAATCCCCAGTTGTACGTGACAAGGAGTAGGGTCGCCTGTCCAACCTCGTGGGTTTTCTCTGGGTCCTCCAGTTTCCTCCCACTGCTAAAGACCCCCACGCGCAAGCGAATTATTGAAATAGAATTAAACCATGTGTTAGTCCCGAAATGACCTAGTTTGTGTCGAGTGGACGTTAAACCACATCTCTCACTCTCTCTCTCTCTCTCTCTCTCTCTCTTATACATACAAGCAAATGGAATTCATAACAAATGAAACATGTTAATGAGGCATTAAATGCCATTTAGAATCATTGAAAGAATAAACGGAAGAATGTATTTTTTTAATTCAAATAACTTACTATTAAGTTTGTAATATTTTGGTTTTCAGAAAGATCCAGTCACAAATATTTGTCAAGCAGCAGATAAACAATTGTTTACATTGGTAGAATGGGCCAAACGTATACCGCATTTCACCGAATTACCTCTAGAAGACCAGGTGATACAACTACGTGCAGGTAAAATCTGATTTTAGATTTGCTAACATAATGATAAATGTTATTTTGATTGTATATTTAATAAGAGTATATTTTTAATGATGTTTAGTCTTAAATTTTCTATTTTTAATTGTATATGATCTTCAATCTTATATTTAAGAGTACTTTTAATTAGATATGACTCAGTGTTATATTTGGCTTTTATTTTGAATTGTTATACCTTTTAAGTAAGAAAACTATGAAGTAGAATGCTTGCACATAGCAAGAACTCCAAATACAAATGTCTGATCAAGTGTATTTTGCTTACTATTACACTATAATATACATGTAAATGAAGGTAGTATGTCGTTGGCCCAAAAGTTATATTTGATCACCAATGCGTCCATCTATCTGTGTTTTTAATGATAGTCATTGATTTGGTGATCAAATGAAGTTACATGAAAAAAAAAAAAAAGAGGGTGACATTATATAATCCCTGCAAGTTCCTTGTTTGCTAGTGTTGTCCTTATGAAAATCTTGTTACATCATTTTAGCAAAGTAGTAATTTCTTTTAAACTACACTGTTATGAAAGATTAATTTCTAATAGGAATATCGGTCCAAAAATTTTAAAATTCTGTTTGCAATTTACAAAGATGTGTTGAATTGAAATTTCATCGATCTCGGCTGCTTGTTATGTAAAAAGCCTGCCACCATTTCGTTGTGAGCTAACAAAATTAGTAAGCGCATTTTAAATCTGATTAAATCCAAGCCGCGAAGTTACATGTGTTGGTACTTAATTAAATTTTAAATAATCAATCTGAGTACTATCAGTGTTGATTCAGTCATGAGAAATTTGATATTCTAGCAAACGAGAGGTTGCCAGGCAAAATATGCCCACATTTTGCAAGAGTTGGATAGAGAACAAGCTAAAAAAAAAAAATGTGATTTTTCATACAATCAGGGGGCATAATCCAAGAAGTTACGGTCTGATGCAGGAATATCTAAAGGGACTGAGATCTTTGGGATATAAAGATATATTTTAAGTTTCATCAAAATCAGACAAAAATTGTGACCGCTAGAGGGTTCACAACCTTCGTATTACATCCTTGTACACAATTTGCGTACAAGGAACGGACATTTTGTCAGGCAGTTTCGTTTCAATTTTCCCGAAATTCAAACTCAACCTTCATTATGGTGATATATTAAAATCTGATAAAAGTTTGTCCTCTAGAGGATCCACTGTTATAATATTAACAAAATGCTTATCTTTTTATTTTGCTAGGTTGGAATGAATTATTAATTGCTGGTTTCTCGCATCGGTCTATTGCTGTAAAAGATGGAATTTTATTGGCTACTGGATTACATGTACACAGAAGTAGTGCCCATCAAGCTGGGGTTGGAACTATATTTGATAGAGTTCTAACAGAATTAGTAGCCAAAATGAGGGAAATGAAAATGGATAAGACAGAGTTAGGATGTCTTAGGGCCATAGTTCTTTTTAACCCTGGTAAGTTTATCAGTATCCTGTACTTAGCTTTACTATATGATTAATGTTTGGATAATCAACTATATATTTTTCACTAATCATGGACTCCTTGGGTAGATTTGCTTTAGCAAGTGTCCAACATGCAGAAATGATCATCCATGCTGCACTTAGCATCCTGTCTTACACAACGACTGAACATATCATTCATTGATTAATTTATTTCTAATTTTAGATGCCAAGGGTTTAACAGCAGTACAAGAAGTAGAACAGCTAAGAGAAAAAGTGTATGCGTCATTGGAAGAATATTGTAAAACGCGATATCCGGATGAACCGGGTCGATTTGCTAAATTACTACTCCGTTTACCAGCTCTAAGGAGCATAGGACTCAAATGTCTTGAACATTTATTTTTCTTCAAACTTATTGGAGATACCCCTATTGATACCTTTCTTATGGAGATGTTAGAAAACCCAAGCCCACAGACGTAGCTGTTGTGAATATTCATAAAGAAAAAAGCCTGTCAGTGCCACAAGTTGAAAGTAAAAAAAGAATTACAACTCTAAATGTTTTATTGTTAGCTAAAATTTTTATAAATCACGCACATATTAAATGTATTATATATTAGTTATGAAATCTATAAAATATCTCGAGATTGAAAAAATTATTTTTAGATATTAAAATATTATGTAAAAAGAATTCAGTAAAAATGTATGTTAAATCTGCTTTTAATGCTTTAAATTTAAACAGTTTTTGTGTTAATTTGAGAAAACAATGTGCTGTTTGGTCATTATTTTGTTGAACATAACATTGTGATAGTGTAATTTAACAAAATATGTTAACAAATTACAAAGTTTATGATATTATTTTGCATTATTATGTTCCTCTTGATTTGTGAGAAAAAAAGAAAAATATCATTCAACAAAGAAAATTAAATAATTAATAATTGTTAGAATATTCCTTAAAAGTGCAAATTATGACACTAAGGAAAATGTAAGAGGTGAAATCCAGTATTTGGCCTTGTACATTTTTTTCTTTGCTAAAAAAGAAAAAGGGCACAACTTTTTTGCACAATGGTAATCAAAGGACTGGCTTATTATAGAAATGATCTGCCATGCCTTGATTTTTATTTAGTCCCCAAATATGTTAACACGTCTAGGGAAAGTAGGGTACAGTCTATTCAAAAGAATTAAACAAATTGAAATGTTTTTTTCTCCTTACAAATGGCATAAAATTGTTGATTGATTCAAAATATGGCAAAACTTGTATCCTTAAAATACAGTCTTGTGTTAATTATTTTATAATTTTAATTATTGTTTTGATTCAGAATTTTACTATCTTTGTTAGTAGTGATATATTAGAGATTGTATATTATTTGTAATATGTAATAGTTCCCTAAAGAATCTTGTAAACTAAAATAATTTCAAAATGGCCAATTGATGGTAATGTAATTCTTAATCAAGTTTGGATGAAAGCAATGCTAACACAAATCAGGTGTTAACTTCTATTAAATTATGCATAAAAAGACATTAAATTGGCTCTATATCTGAATTCACCATGTTTTGGATTTGGAATGTGTTATTCTTTATTCACACTGCATTTTAACTACAAGTTAAATCTAGCTTTATGTACATGTATTATTTTGTGTCCTAACTCAGCAACTGACAAAATGAAATTTTTAAATTTCGTTATTGATTGATAGTGTTTTATATTTTAAATTAGATTGTTTTTATTGTTTATGTTATATTAACATTAAAATCATAAAATTCATCAGAAACTCATAAAAATGGAGGAAAATAAATTTACACAAAAATAACTTTGTCTTAAAATATTTTGCCTCTTGATTACTACAAAACATATTTATGTGTAGTTGAACTATTAATTAAAACTTTGAGAGATATAAAACATGACTTGAAATCCTAAATAGCAGAAAGATGCCCAAATTGCTGTTATTTTATTGAAAGTTGATTGCTTTTAAGCATAATTTTCATCTTGAATGTGTGTAGAGTACCGAGAGAAAGAATGTCTCTGAATGTATTATTATTATTTTTTTTTTTTTTAAAGCAGTTCTGTTAATAATTTTTGAAACCTTTGTATGGTCAGTCAAATCTATGTTGAATTTTATTTGTATTAAAATGAAAATAAGTAATACATTTTTATATTGAAATTTTTAAAAAAAAAAGGCATTTTACAAAATTACATGTAATACCAGTTTGATCAACAAAAAGTTGTCTTACTTTTGTCTATTTTGTTAGCTATTAACATTTCAGTTGCAATAGATATGTTAACAAAATCCTTTTTTCTCAATTTCATGTACTTTTAACAAAAAGATTCCAAAATATTTAATTAAGATTAATGTCTCTGTATGTCATTTGCATTTTCGGAAAAATATCAAAACTTTCCACAGCTTAATCCGCCCAAATATGTACTCATATTGATTATTGACATTTAATTAAGAAAACAATATCAAACTGTCAATGGTAGATTATCTCCTGTCTTGGATACAAGAGTATTAAAAAAACAGGCGTATCAAATGATTTCCACAAAAGTGGCACTGGCTTGCCGAATTTTGTCAAATTTCCAAATCATGTCTTCGTCAATACTGAACGGAATTGAATCATTTTTTGTTTGATTGTTTTTAGAAATTCAACTTTCATGATATTATAGTTTGCACGGAATTAATGATCCCTCAAATGATGATCAGAGACTTTTAAAAAAAATAAAATTGTTTAAAAATACTCATTTCTATATTTCAATGAAATTATTTCAACACCAGCAAAGATCATGATAATTATTTCAAATGCTCTAATGTTTGTTTTGTAATCAAGAGAAAAACCCTAATGGAAAGATTAAGATATTCAGATTATTGTAGATTATATGAACAGCACATTTAGAAATGTAATCTTATATATACTTATTCACATGACAATGTAAATAATCATTACTTTATATATATACATACCTTTTGTATATCCTACTATACTTCTATTATTATTATTAGTTATGTATATATTTGTTAGCTTCTAGTTGTCTTGACAACAGGTTTATTATTATGAATATATTATAATTATTTTTAACCAGCATGATGTTTACTACAAGAGATCATAATACAATTCTATGGTTGTTGAGAGTTAGCCCTCTTGATATTGCAATAGATTCTTTTCTCTTGGTTATTCCCCATTATATATATATTTTTTTTTTTTTGGAAACTAGACTCCTGCACAAAGGGCAATGAGTAAATACGTCACTACGCTTTATATAGAGTTTATGAGCTGTACATGTGTACTTTGTTTTATGTGTAGGTCAACTTTATATTTTTGTTACATTTTTAGATAAAAGTCAGAAGTATAACACTGGAAATAATAATATTCCAACGAACACAGTTTTAGAAAATTATTCATGAAAATGTACACATTTTTTGAGTAAGAATTAAATTATGTTCAATAGAATAAGGTCATTTCTATTTTTGCAGTCCTAAATTTAAAAAAAAATATGCGAAAAAGACAATGCATATTTCTATTCTAAATGTATGTCCACTACAATTTACTTACAATAACAATGTCAGTACACTACATTTCAAGTTAGTCTACTACATTTCAAGTTCTCTTTTGGATACCGGTATTTTTTTTCTTATTTACTGTTGAATGTTGAAATGGATTTAGATTTGCTTGAAATGGAATCATAATCAATTTGATTTATTATTTTTTTATCACTTATTGTAAAATTTACCCCACATTTTAAAACCTATAACTTTATCTATTTGTGAGGGATTCTCTATATATAAGATGTGGTGCTTTGTAAAACACTATGAAGTAAGCTTGTAATTTTTTGCCATAGGCATGGTGATTTAATTTTGTATAGATTTTTTTTTTCTTGCTGTGTATCTGTTGAATCACATCGTAACCATAGTTTATCATATTTCTGTTGGTGTAAATTGTCAAATGTACACATTGCCATGGACATCAACAATAAAACTATCAATAACATAAAAATATTCTTTTGGTTTGTTTGTTGTTGATTGGGTTCTTTCTTTTTTATCTTATTGGGGTGTTAATGTAATTCCTTCAAAAATCTGCCTATTGCAGGTACTTACATAATGCATCTTAAACTTGCTATATTAGACGAGGCACAGTTCTATGAATTCTGTTATGCCTTTAAAGTGGCTATCAGAGAGAACCCATGCAAACTTTATTTCTTGCTGTATTACAGTGGTGTATACATATACACATGACACAATGCTATAGAATACATAATATGCTTCACTGATCTTAATCAAGTAAGAAAGTTACATGTATAGATTTACCCTCTTATGTTCTGTATTTAATGATCAGTGTAACTGCCAGATCTATGTACCGATGTCTGATAAATTGTTTTAAGGGCATTTAGTAACTTAACTTAAATACATGAAATTTTGTTCAGTAATGAACAGGAATTGTATTCCATACAGTTGTGTCCTGTGTATTTCCAGTTAGATTACTAGATGCCATTGACACAATGAACAACCAAATGCATGCACAATCAATTATACATCAGTTTTGATCAAATTCACTCCCTTATCCCCGATTTGAAGGAAGTTCCTTAGCTAAAAGGATGGACTCTAAATATGAGTTATCAGATCAGCAATGAGTACTCTTGTATTGTATATATATGAAATAGTCAGGATGCAGACTGCAGAAGCAGATTTTAGTTTAGTACAAGCAAAATGAAATGAAATGAAATGGTGTTTAACGTAGTACAAGCAAAGTAACTGATTCAAGAACAGGGTGGCTAACTGATGTCTTGGTTCATTTAAGAATGAAAAACTTCTTCTACAAAGGATATATATAGAAACTTCTTTAGCATCCTCTAACAAGAGGTCTGCTGTAAGTGAAGGTAATTCTGCCAGCAGTGTCTACTCTTCCAATGAGCAGTTAAGAGATCAGTCAAGAAGTAATCTTCCCTTGCTCGAAAATTAAACAACTTGTTAACCAAATTACTGTTTATTTTTGACATAGCCAACTTATAAACTCAGGAGTTTTCATTACATACAAAGTTACAATGTTGTAGAACCAGAACATAGATACATATCAAGCAATAAGTAGGGGAGACTTAGTCGGACCCAGATCGCTGTAATAAGAAGGGTGACACTATGAAAGGCAATAAAACAAAATTTCAATAGTACGCTAAACCGGGAAGAACAAAATGGCAGTGCAAAATTATAGACAATAAAATAAAACATAAACACATATTATGATAAAGAATCATTATAAATATTAATAGGTAAACATTCATTAATGTGGTTTGATTAAATTAGGATATTCAATCATTTTAATCAGCTATGGTGATAAAAGGTGCAGTTGTCTTGCTGGACGCGTAACTTCTCACATATTTCGACTGTTGTCATGAATATTTGGTGAAGTTCTCTTAAAAATTAACAAGAGCATCGCTAACGCAGCAATATACGTCCACATTCCTGTTTTGTTTGATATGGTCCAGTTTGCATTGAGGGTCTGTGAAATAAAACTGGGTTGTAGGACTGCTATCAGTATAACATTTCGTTCACATTAACAGAACACAATTTTTATTTTAAAACAATCGATGTCTTTATTCTAAAAGCATGACGTTTTTTTTTTGTTTTTTTTTGCTTGATTGATAACGATAAGAGAATACTTGTGGAAACGTCGTGCTTTTAGAATAAACTAGTGATTGTATCCCATAAAAACTGTGTTCTGTTAATTTGTTCCCTGATCGCTAAATGCCACTTAAAGAATAACTAGAAATGGGCGTGGCTCTGCCCCTGGGGGTCGGGCATGCACCAAAAACAATAGGGATCTTCCTTGGGGTATAAGGAATAAGTATACCAAGTTTGAAGAAAATCCAGTAAGAATTGCGCCCTGTAGGCGACACAAAGACACACGAAAAGAAAATGGGCGTGGCTCTGCCCCTGGGGGTTGGGCATGCACCCCAAACGATAGGGATGTTCCTTAGGGTACAAAGAATGTGTATGCAAAGTTTCAAGATTATTAGTTAAGAAATGTGGCCTGTAGACGACAAACAAACAAATACTAGAAATGGGCGTGGCTCTGCCCCGGGGGGTCGGGCATGCACCAAAAACAATAGGGATCTTCCTTGGGGTATAAGGAATAAGTATACCAAGTTTGAAGAAAATCCATGAAGAATTGCGCCCTGTAGGCGAACCACAGACACACACACACACACACACACACACACACACATACATACATACACACACACACACACACACACACAGACAGGGGCGACGGCATAATACGTTCACATTATGAATGTGGACGTATAAAAATGATTATACATTTAATTTCTTGTGCTTATTAAATAAATATCAATGTCTTTCAGTCTAAGGGAGAAAACTCCATTTAAGCTATTACAGAATATCCTTCATACACTCATACGCATGCATTTGGTTATTTCATGTCATTTTATTGCTCAGATTTGGTTTAGAGATTAGCATAAAACCATTTAAAAAATTGATATCCTCAAAATAATCCCTGAAATAAAAAAAACAAACAAACATCATTTTGATGTGCGAAAAAAGAAAAAGGTGTAAGAGCATAGAAGTATTATATTTCTATGGTTAGAGTTATCCCCCCTGAAGGGACCGTTTATTAAACCGGAACGGAATAAAAATTGGGAAGGAAGTTAAAAATAGGCATTTTGTTTGACAACTTTCTAACTTTTAATTCAACATGTTTGTAAAATAGTGGTACATATTTGAGCTCTGCCTCGCCATGAGCTCAGTTTCTCAGGTTTTAAGGTAATTATTACTACAAAAACCGTGAATATTAGCTGGCAGTGGTATTTATGCAACTATTAGTATTCACTTTTTAGTTTCTGAACTGACTTGTCAATGAATATGATAAAACTATGTAGCTTACTGTGTCAGTCAATACTAATTTATTGCACTGTTATAAACTAAACAGAAGACAGTGTTACACTATGACCCACAAGAATTCGTTTTCTTTAAATAAATAACTGCTGATGTGTTCAGAGGTAATCTGAAATATCAGACCACTCCAAAAGGCAAGGTCTCTAGTGATAGATTTAAAAAGTCAAATGCCAGATCATTACTGACATCAGTCATCAGTCATCAGTATCAGATTTTGTCTTGAAGAGAATCGGTGTGGGAAGTTTTCACATAGATAGGGTCCACAGAGGCTTTCCTGTGCATTCATCAAATGTAATCACCTTGAGAGCTAAATGACACACACTGTTTAGATTTTATAAAGTCCTCATGCACAACATGTTTTAAATTCATACTCTGTACACCAAACAGTTGTCTTGATGTCACATCAGTCTTCACCTTTATGAAATTGTGCGGGCAGCGGGAGCCATAAAAAAACACTCTTGCCAATTCCCAAAATGAGAAAAAAAAGCTTTTGTAAAAGATTCATCTTAATTAAATTGCAAGAGTAATTCTAAAATTTCTAAATTAAAGGAGCTAAATCACTAATATTTGGGACCTAGAAATTGGCACAAATGGGTGACAGCGCATATAATAATGTAATATGAATGTTTATAAACTGGTTTACATTTAACTGTTTCCATTTTTACTCTTAATTTTTAACTCAATTATGTTGGGCAAAATATGTCAGAAGTCTCAATCAAATAGCAGTCTCTAGCGTCTGGTTATTCTAGTCTACACCAATAGTATTTATTCCGCATGCTCTCCAGATTAGAATATCGCCGTTTGACATGGCGTGTGGAATATGTCTAGCCTCAATCTTCGGGTTTCCTGGTTACAAATAGCACTGAAACGCAATTATGGTACATGAATCAGGTACCAATGGTAAAATATTTATTTTGTCTTTTAAAATATTGGATATCAGAAGCCCATCTTTTCCCGGTAAGATCACAACATTAATGTTGATTTAAATTGACAAATAATTTGTGTTTTTGAATGTCAAAGCCTTTGGATGATATTGAGTTAGAGACTTAGCTACATTAAGAAGAGCCAAATTCTCTTTTTTATGTCATTTATATGTTCCATGAATTTTCGTCAGATTGATCACTTTGTCAGCATGCTTAGCGCACACATTTGCACTAAAGACCAAACCAATTTTACAAACCCATTTTTGTCCCCCTCCGTGGCTATTTGCCCTACAGTACTTCCAATTTAAAAATGTCACATACAGTTTTGACCATCTCCCGACATATTGATAGTGATAATCAACGCAATGACAATGAGACAAGCGGTATATGCAAACATTTTAAACAACGTAATGTTATTATTAAACGTGTCATTCTATCATTCCTGCGGATTTTCTCCATCAACATCCAGCAACATATTAGGCTGTCTAACATCTATTGGCTGATTTTAGACTTCTATCCAATTAAAACGAGTCTTACATTAGCATTCAGTATGTTTGGTGAATAATTATGACAGCCCTAGTTTTACCATGGAAATGCTCATAGCTCGAAGGAGGAGGTCACTTTACTCCAACATATGCAGTTTTAAAGATAAACAAAAAACTGAAAGTACAGTAATTTAAGAATCTCAATATTTAGGAGAGGGATTTATCTAATTGCAAGCGTATTTAACGACTCCCCTGAAGATAAGTTGAGGTGCGTTGAGAGGCGCAAGATTGAAAGTGCGCCTTAAACTTGAAGGACTGGTCACATTATATATTATCAAATTATTCAAATACTTCCTTTTAAAGAAATGTCTTATCCATTGCAAGATCAGCAGAAATAATCTTGTTATTATAACATAAAAGATATCAAAGCGTTTATTTCATAAAATTTATTTGAGGTTGCCATTTTTGGACCAGGAACTCACCACAAGCGATTCATGTCTTGTTGCTCTTCTTGTGGACGAAGCTCTTCAAATAAAAACCCAAGGGTTCTGCCAATTCAAGTACAATCAACATGAAACTTGCCTTGATTGTTCCGTGGACAATTGCACATCAATTTTTGATATATGGCGTCACAATTCCATGATGGTGGCAATGACATAATGCTCAGTTCCTGGTCTATATATTTTTACTATCATTGACTTTTATAAAAAGAGCTATTTTGGAGATTGTGAATAAATTCTGGTTTGGTAGCTTTCTGTTGATTTGCCATCACTCATACAAAACATTCAGTTGGTTTGTAAAATGGGTTTTTGGCATATCAAAATATAGTCAGTTCTAAAACATAATTTCGGCTTCTATAAAACTTCTGGAGAGGCTACTGGATTTTTGATGATTAGTTCAGCATCTTAAATCTTATCCACTGTTCAGATGATATCTTTTCACTCTACATACATGTATATTACACCCAAGACTTCATCAAGATACAAATTTACCCCTGGGCCTAGTTGAGTCTTTTTCCCTTGGTCACAGGTTACTCTTAAGATGGTGATTAAATGTGCATTTGGCAATAAAGATTTAGATCTGTTAGTACCGTTTTTCTAAAATAAAAATCAGCTGAAACATAAATTATCACCAGAAACAGCAATGATATTTATTGTCTTAATCTGGTGTTTGATACAATGCCTGAATGGGGAATTTAGGCAAGAAGATGATTACCAATTGTATGGAATCAGTTCCTAGTATAAAAACAGATATTTTTGTAGTTTAAAGAGTTATATCTAACTATGTGCTTTATATATGACTAGCAGGATACCCGGCTTCCCTCGGGGGTCATAACTCCGAAACCGGAAGTGGTAGACTAACGCCACCTGGCCTATGTTACTCCCCGGTCCAAACACCCCTATACCCCAAATTTCAGACTCGGGGCAGACCTAGTGTAGCCGCCAACCCCGAACAGACAGACAAACAACAGTCACAAATATTAGTATAGATAACAAAATTTAGGACTGAAGGGAACACCAAATGTATTTTAGCATTGGAGTACATTTATCAACAGCTGAACCACATTAATATGTAAACACAATTTTGTGATATTTTTTAATCTGTTTTTGTTCTCTTCAGGCAAGCAGATTCATTGAAAGTTACAGTTTCTGGTAAAATTCTTTTCTTTCCTTCTGTTCTTCATTCATAACTAACTAGTCGGTAATCCTAAGGAAACACTTTAAGAAGTTTAAAAGGACTTAGTAGATTAACTTTATTTCCTTATTATTTTAAAGCATGACTTTGTATTGTAGACCTTTATGCTGAATAAACTTTCTTTTTGAATGAGACAGCCTACTGACATTTAAGCCAAGGCTTTTAAACATTTTGATAAGATTTTTCAATTTGAACATACATTTGCTAATCCTAATTACTTACTATTATTTCATTTTAATTTTTGACAGGATTATTTTTTTAAAATCATGTCACAAATATATCATTTGTAGATTCCAGTAAAAGTATACCAGAACTATGGGTGCCACGTCAAAGACTAGAGGATCTTTACAAGAAACTTCTTTTAATGGATCTAGAATATGCACTGGATAAAAAGGTTGAACAAGATTTGTAAGTGTTTTTGTGTACTTTATTCTGGAGAATAGGAAATTTATCTGCATGTTTTGGAAGGATAGAATTTTAAATAGATTATAATGATGAATCAAGACTTACAGGAAAAACAAATGTTTCAGCATATGATTCTGATATGGATACTGGATAGATTAGTAAAATAATACATATTATTATTTTATAATTATTTTTCAGGTGGAATCATGCATTTAAGAATCAGATAAATATACTTCAGGCTCAGACAAAAGATAAACAGGTAAAAACGAGACATTTTCTTTTGTCGTCAATAAAAAAACGAATGCAATAAATAAGTTATACAGTCAGCATAATATATGTATCTTTATACTTGCCATTGCTAACACGTGGAGACTGGAGATGTTAGATTTGATAAAAACTGCACGAATAAGAAGTCTAAAAACATATAGTTTGTCTTATGTTATTTAAAAGGAATTTAAGAATCCCCGCTCAACAGTAGCACAACAGACTTGGTAGAAGTGAAGATTGTTAATGAATAATGTTTCGGGTTGTGATACCCTTTTTTTGATCCAGTAGCCATGCAGATGTATTAGCCTGTTCAGCTTTAGTCACCTTGTCTAAGGAGCGTTGCCGTCCCTCTTCTCGCACCCAGTCTTATGTTATTTGTAAAACAGGCCAATTATGCGAGAGACAGGGCTTAAATTTAAAACTGAACAAAGTCAATATCAGTATTGAAATATTTTTCAGAATACAAAAAGAGGAGAAAGTCAAGCTAGTCTTAATTTATTTTTGGAGAATGCAAGTGGATTCTATCTCCAGGTACTCTTCTTTTTATACACACAAGTTTAATGTGGACTTCTGTCACCTGTCACTGGACGTCCATTCACCACTTCTTAGTTATTAAAACAGATTTGTTTTTCAAATTTGCAGGGATTATTCCTTGGGTCATTTGGAAGAACCTCATTGAAATTTGGGAAATTTTTATCAAATTTTCAAATATTATATGGTAAAAAGGAATGAATCACAGAAATCTGTATATCATTATTAAAGCAGCTGATCGTCATTTAAAGATGGCCATGGGTTCCCAGAAAAGTATTTATCGGGTGGTTATTTCCAATAAAAGTATGGTAAGTTTGATGAAAGTAGAGACATCCAATCTTACTGGAAAAATACTGGATTCCCCGAAAAACACTCATGGAGCGTATACAGAACAAAAATGTAAGGGTTCCCCTAATCAACAGCCCGACGATTAGGAATTCCTGCACGCGTGATGTCAAAGGTCACACGCGAACATTGAGCGCTTGATGTACAAGTTGATAAACTTTATGAAGAGTTAGACATACAACACTTTCTGAGATAAAAATGATGAAAAAAGACGCGGGTAGTGGATAATCCGAGAATTTAATTAGGATTTGATATTTGTAATAAATAGTAAGCGATTAAAGACAACATCGTCTTATGTATGCAATGAATTCTCCTCTGACTTCCAAGAAAGGTAAGTCACGGGACGTAAACATGACCTGACTTGATCAAATTTTTATAACAGGACATTTCTTCGCAGTTACAATGTTTGAGAAGGATTTGAAGCAAAGTTATGACAAATTAATTAGTTTGAATATGTTTTTAGTCCATATATATCATTAAATCACCCAGTTTGTACGCAGGAACCCATCTTTAAGGAGTTAAGAATCCTTTTCAAAATATTTTGTAAAAAAAGGAATATCAGTCACAAAATTGTGTTCAGTTTTTACAAAATTATGAGTAGTTGAAACATGTGCAAAATTTGGCATCCACTGTATACAATAAAGTCAGCGATAAGTGTTGGCTAAAATCTTTTGATGGGCCTTGTTCTAATCTTAATTAAATCCAAGCTGAGAAATTATCTATTGTTATTATTTTTATACGCCCACATAGAAATGTGGACATATATTGCCATCGCCATTCGCCCCGTCGGTCCGTCCGTTCATCCATCCATCGTCCACAATTTCTTGTGAACGCTCTAATGCCAAAAGTTATCATCCAGTTGTTTTAAAAGTGATATTTGTTGTTTGCATTATTGAGATGAAGAAACCTATTTAATTTCAATCATTTCCGTTTATTATGTTTAGAGTTCTGGCCCTTGTTTCACTTTGTTGAACCTTGTGAACGCTCTAATGCCAAAAGTTAACATCTGATCTTTGTGAAATTTATTTGCAATATGTAAATTAGGGAAACAAAGAAGCCTATTGAATTCCAGCAATTTCTGTTTATTACTTCTAGAGTTATGGCCCTTGTTTAACGTTGTTTAACCTTGTGAACTCTCTAACGCCAAAAGTTATCATCCTATCTTTCTGAAATAGGATCTGTGTTTTAATCAAATTAAATATTAATTAGTAATGCATGAAATATATCATAATTTTTTGTATGTATTTTAGTTTCTACAGCTGGTCTGTACAACATTTAAATTAGACTTACCATTCAGACGTAAATCATCAGCTTATGGTGTAATGAAAGGTAATCATCCATTTTCTTTTGTTTTTATTGTATAGGTTTAGTAGTGATGTGATTATCACTTTACAATTTCATATTACAGATAATTATAAACTTATCAACACATTAAAACTATACACTTCCTTTGTATTATGAGGGTTTTGTGTGCCTTAAAACAGTGCATTGGTACCATTGAAATTGTGATTTCAATACAAAGATTTTGCATTGCACGGAGGAATGTATCACACTATTTCTTCTAGGTTTTTCAGTTATGAAGAAAGAATTATTAAATAAATCCTGAGTAGATACTTGGAGGCTAATGATGGGGGAACATGAAATGTTCCGAGGCAGCGGATGCTTGACTGGAATGTCTCAGGTTCATGTTCACTTGTCAGGGTAACACCTGCTTGATGTACATGGTGGTTTGTAATGGATTCCTAAATCCCTTAAATATCTTGATGTTTTTTCTCACTCTGTTGTAACTATTAGTACAGGTGTATTATATTGAATTGTATTTCAGAAAAATGTCCTCTTAAAGCCAAGATAAATCCGCCTACTAAGAACTCTTGTCTGTATATTTGTCAACATTGTTTAGTACATCTTGGTGATATTGGTAAGTATTATAAATATCTTTATCTGAATTAAAATTAGATTAGTATTCATCAAAACTGAAAAGAATAATGTTTCCTCCTTAAAAATAAAAAAAACTACCAATTAAATTATTTTATAATACTTTTCTTTATTTTGAATTTCAGCTCGTTATCGACAGCAAATTGACCAAGCTAAGACTTACTACAGACATGCAGCCAATCTAGTTCCACAAAATGGTAATTTATATCTAATAAAGCCCACTGATTATCATTTGCATTTTTCAGACAATATTTAATTTTGAGTGGCTTAATCCTTGCTAAAATGTATTAAAAATGATTATTTAACATTTATTTAAAGCAAACATTTTAAAAATGTCAAGGGCTTGGATTCAGTCTGATTAAAAACAGGGCTTATAGACAAAACAGCCCAAACATTTGGTCAAAACGGGTTTGGTCACAATGACCATGAAAATATTAAAATTTAATTATGGGCGTTGAGTAGTCTAAGATACACACTAACTTTTCAGCGCTAATCATATTAAGACTTTGCATACTTGTTTTATGTGTAAAATAACCCAGAGGACACATAACAGTCCAACCATTTGTTGTGTAGTAATGGAAATACAATCACGGCTGCCTCCAGCAACAGTTTCACACTGGACGACGCATTTCCTTTTTTGAAGTTCGAAGACTACCATTTTCGAATGCATAAAATGAATTTGAGTGCAGCGAAGTAGTGCACTGCAGTAAATATTTACTTTTGACATCCGAATTGTTTAATTTTAAAACTTGTTGTGAACATATTCAAAGAATTTACCCAAAATCATAAAATCTTGTTTGAAGGTTAATAATGAACAGAGATTTTAAGGTACATTGAAGTGAAAATTGTTAACATTATTGGTTTTGAAACGTTGCTTATTAGTTATAACCTCTACTTTCAATCTACAGTTGGGATTATCGATGGCTCTTTATCCCATAAAATTATAGAATATCCAAGAAAACGTATCATTTTTTGGCGTTTTCAAAGATACCAGACAAACCACGGTCTATAGCCAAAATGTGAACCAAACATTTCTTGGACTTTCATTTAGCATTGTTCATGCCAAATTTCTTGAAAATCCCTGCTTGCATTCCATGCATAACTGGGAAAATTAGACTTTTGTTCTCATCAGCACCTTTATTATCATGCTTTTGGGCCAAGTTTTGAACATACATGTAGTTGGTAATTAAAAAGGTATTGTTTTTGTGATTAATATGTAATTTATCACCCGAAATAACAAAATACATCATACACATCTAATGAACAAAACTTACAGTGCTAGCTTTGAAATGTGCAATTTAGAGTACTCTACGCCCTTAAGACAACTTACATATATTGGAGCCCATTTTTCCAGACGCTGCTAATCAGTATATATACCTTAGATTTTGGACAATTTTAATGAGAATTTTGCTGTGGCATTTACCTTGTTACTATGAAAACTTATATGTCAGCTTCAGACAATAAAAATTGGTAACCACACTGCAAATATATAGTAAATTTATCTCAAGAGCATTATCGGACATTGTGTTACTTTTAGTGACAATCATACAGGAATTGGTGAAGCCATAGACTTTTTTTCTAAAGAGTGTCGCCCAAGAACACAAACAAGAAGAAGATTACAAAGTGTATGGAAACAGTTCTTTGTTCATACATATGGTTCTTGCAACTTTGACCTATGTGATACATCCCCCTTTTTTTCCAGTGGCCTGTTTAACCAAATTTTAACTAAGATAAAATCCAAATTTTAGTAATTTGATTAGATAATATTAGATTGATTTTGGTGCTTAGCCAATCAAAATTGAAGTATCTACTAAAATTTGGATTTTATCTTTAGTTAAAATTTTGTGAAACAGGCCCCAGAGATCATATCTCATTTATGATTCAGGGGGTTGGATGGCCGAATGGTTAGCACGTACGCGCTGTTTCATATTCATATGGCCTGTCATTGAGTCAACTAGCGTGATTTCCAATCCCCTGCTGTACATGACAAGGAGTAGGGTTGCGTTCCAACCTCGTGGGGTTCCTCTGGGTCCTCCAGTTTCTACCCACTGCTAAAGACCCCTACCCGAAATGACCTAGTCTGTGTTGAGTGGACGTTAAACCCCATTTCTCTCTCTCTCTGCCGTTTAGTGACATGCTCTTTTGATTCTTGATGAATGTGTCTCCGATTAACTATAAGTAGTACAAATAGTAAGCACTATTTATTCATTTGTATTTATTTAGGAGTACCCAGTAGTTCCTTTTTTTTCATTCTTCCCCAGAACAGAACACCCATAACACAACAATAGTACTAGGATCAGTACAAAATTTCAGATTGACTACCTGACAGATGTAAACTAAAAAAAAATATTTGTTGTGCCAAGAAAACATATTCTAATGTTCAAATATTTTTTTCAGGACAGCCATATAATCAGATGGCAATTCTAGAAGCTGCCCGAGGAAATAAACTTTTAACTGTCTTTTATTATATAAGAAGTTTAGATGTCCGACATCCATTTCCTGTAGCTGCTACGAATTTAGAAAAGTTCTACACAAAATTAGCTAAGGATGTGTAAGTACATAGTGTACCATGTGTTCATATTGTTAGTTTTACCAGAAAGATTCTTCCTAAAAGTGGACAGTACTACATGTATATTGCAGTCTACCATGTTTATTACAAATTACAATAGTCTCTTTTAGATACAATAGCAAGATCTATTTTTATACGTCCGTCTGTACGTCCACAATTTGTTTGTGGATACTCTACAGGTCACAATTCTTACCCGATTTTGACGAAACTTGAAATATAGGTTTATCTCCAAAAAATCTCGGCTGCTTTCGATATTGGCATCTATCAGATCGAAACTTCATGGATTATGGCCCCTGTTTGTACGAAAAATCACGTTTTTAGCTTGTGGACACTATAGAGGTCACAATTTTTATCCCATTTTGTACGAAAAATCACGTTTTTAGCTTGTGGACACTATAGAGGTCACAATTTTTATCCGATTTTGTTGAAACTTGAAATGTAAGTTGATAACCCAAAGATCCTTTCGATATTCGCGCATATCGGACCGTAACTTCCTGAATTATGGCCCCTGATTGTACGAAAAATCGCCTTTTAGCTTGTGGACCCTATAGAGGTCATAATTTTTATCCGATTTAAAAAACTGTATTATTATATCACCATTACACCCTAAGGATGGCTGAGTTTGAATTTCGTGAAAATCGGCCCAAAATTGACAGACAAAATGGCCGCCGTTCGTTCTCAAATAGTGTAAAAATATGGTATATCAAGGTTGTGGACCCTATAGAGGTCACAATTTTTATCCGATTTTGTTGAAACTTGAAATGTAAGTTGATAACCCAAAGATCTCGGTTCCTTTTGATATTCGCGCATATCGGACCGTAACTTCCTGAATTATTGCCCCTGATTGTAGGAAAAATCACTTTCTTTTTAGCTTGTTCTCTATCCATCTCTCGAAAATGTGGGCGTATCCTGCCTGGCAGCCGCTGGTTTGATTATATGTCTTGCTTAACCTGTCTCCTTTTTAATTTAAACTACATTTCAGAATCACTAATACATACACTTATTAAATTCTTTAGATATGAATTAGATTTTGAATTTTTCAGTGTGGATTACAAAGGAAAGTTGTCTATGACAGAAGTAATAAGTGTGTTTCTACAGTTTCATGCCTTAGTGCATTTAACTGCAGGTAAAATTATGTTTAACCATTATTTAAAGATATAAACCTTCATAAAGTTGACTAACGTCCTGTTTTAAAGCTCTAAAAAGTATTCTCAGAAAATTTGCTTTCTGAATATGCATAATGAGGCTCATTTTAAAACTGTAATTATCAAACTTCCACCTTAGCCTTAGAAACAAAACAAAAGAGAATTGAAATATTTTTGATGCTCCTGCGGTACAGGCATCTTTTAGCCCTTCATACCAGATTTATTTCCACTTCTTTACTTTATTTTGTCTTGACATATTTTAAAAATATTACTTTGTTCTTTCGAACCTTCAAAATCCAAAATTTTATCGAAATGATGTCTTATGGAAGAGGCATAAGAATATTTAGAAATATTCTTCAATTTCAAGTTATTTCCCGTAAACTATGGCTGAGTGTAGAGCTGAGTAATATCCTTGGAAACAGATATCGTGACATTCTCAGGAAATATTTTCAGAATGTTTTATAAAATGTCAATAATTTCAGTTTATCACCTTTTAAATATAAATAAACATGCATAAAAAGTTGGAAATACCCCCTGGAGTATATACTTGACACTTTCTAGTCAATATTATTAAAAGTTTTTTGCATACTGTTAAATTATGTTTATATCTACTCGAGGAAAATAAAAATTATCTTCGGTCAGTCTAAGCCAAGTTCACGTCTTCGAACTTAAATTAAATGAGCCAGTTGAATGTATATAACAGCAAACCTTTATGGAGAACTTTCACTAGGTTTATTAACTGCAGCATTTCAATGATGGTACTCTCACTGTTACCAAGCAATGAATGTTATCCACAAATGTTTATGGTTGTCTGTTATTATATATAATTGCTTGCACAAAATGCCCTTTAAAGATAGACGACTAGACAGGGACAAAGATGTAGATGTTGAAAAATTGATTTAATTGTTTTATTTGTCTTTAGATTTAACCAAAGCTGGTATATTAAAGGAGAGATTGTTAACAAGTCTACCAGCACATATTACATCACAAAGTTTTCATACCAGTTTATTGTTACAGTTTGTTACTGTAACAATATTCTCTGTTCATCATGCTAGAAATGATCCCGGAGAGGATGGAAATTTTGGTCCGGCAGCAAAAGCTATACAGTTCTGTCGAGATGAAGAGAAGAGTTATGAACTGGTTTTTACTTTCATCTGTAAGTTTGAGACATATAGAGGTGTAGGCTTGACTGCCATTGTTATTTTTTGTTAGATGTTTTCTTGATGAGATACTTAACAGATAAACTTTCCTGCGATATCACTCTTGCAGTTGTTGTAGTAACAGAGCAATAGGGGTGTACAAAATATAAATTACAGATATATCATTATATATTGTTTTGAAAATGTATGTCAAGGATTAAAATACTCCATAACAGGATGAGATGTCAGTTTTTATACATTGTATTTGAATGTTTTATATAGGTGGATTATTAGAGAGTCTAGTACAGAATACACCTAAACAAGAACAGAAAGCTAGAGAATTCTTTACGCTACCTGCTATTAAAATTATACTGGACTGGTTGAGTTTAAATAATGATCTGATCTCTACTATACCGTCTTCAAAGTAAGATAAAAATAATTTGAGGAAATGGAAAATAATTTAATAAGTCGTAATTTAAAGCATAATGTTATAAGTACAAAATAGACCATTGAACATTAAAGTATTAATTTTATCATCATCTATATTTGAAAAGTTATTTTTGGATGGAAAGATCAATAATTAGTAATGCTCTTGGATTAGCAATTCATATTTTCAATGAAAAGATGATTCAAATACTCTTTTTCAATCTTATCTAAAATAGCCATTAAAACAAGTTCAAATATAACAGCCACAATCTCAAACCTATCAGTAAGTCACCTACAGTTTTGATAGTCCCATAACTATTTGATTACTTGTGGTTTCTGATCATTATATTGTCAGTTTCATACTATTCATGTTTTCAAGTTTATGGAGTCATCTGGCCAAGTTATTGAATAATATTCAGTCATCACCAGACAAGGAAAATGTAGATTTATCAAAATGTAAGTCAACTTTGGCACTCAGTTTTTTCTACATTAGAAAACATTTTCATTTTATTACTATCAACAGCTGAAAAATTCTGTAATAATCTGTCAGTCATATTTTAAATGATGTGCAGATAGAATTTTAAACAAAATAATTCATTTAAAGTTACCTAGAAGCAATTCTGTGTATACCCACATTAAAATAGGGTCATGATATTGTCAATGCCCATGTTTGTGCATATTTGATAGATTGATTATTTTAGATGGAGAACAACCCTTACCAGAAGATGTTGATTTAAGATGTTTTAGACCAATTGAAAAATGCCAGAGGTAAAGTAATAAACTAATTATTGAAATATCTTAAGCACAGCCATTTTTTTCTTTATTTTTATTTAGATACTGTGAAATGAACTGACAGAAATTTAGATCTAAGGAGTCCAGTGTGGCATCAACTTGAACATTTTGTTATTATTATTCTATTTCTATTATAATTTATAATGTAATTATATGGTCCAGTCTATAATTACAAGAATAGACAATTTTACAAATAATCTTTTCAACTTTGAAAGTCCAATTTTTCTTACCCAATAGCTTTAAATTATTCATGTGAAGATAATAAATTAACCTTTCTTGAAAAAATAATGTAATGTTTAAAATAACGGTTAATATAATAGTAGTATTTTAAATTTCAGTACACTAAGTTATAGTAAGTTTTCTCTTGATAATGTACCATCAAATATTGAAGCTCAGTTAAGATGTCAGAGATTGGTGGCTCATGGGAAAAAAATTGCTCAAGAATTAACAGGGTAGGTCATGTTGTTCATTTCAATGGATTAATGATCTTAAGTATTGAGTAAATTAAAGTTTCAGCAACAATAATATAGTAGAAATCCACGATTTTACTTCGCAGGGAGTAAGTTCATCTTTCTACCATCAAACGAAATAATAAATAGTTATCATGATTTTCCAAAGTTACATGGTGTTTTTTATTAATGGAAATTGAAACTCATTTCTTTCCCATTTTTTTGACTTAGTGAAAGCATGTTTATTTTTTATAGGAACAAGGTTTTAACATGTCAGACAGGTAAAACCGGTAAACTTGAATTTCACTCTACAGTTGTGGCTAAAGGTATGTATTTTTTAGATAGTACAATTAGTTATAAACTGATACAACCCTAATCAGTTATACACTTAAACAATCCCAGGGAATTTAATTATCAACTGATAAACCCTAGACAATTACGAACTGATACAACCCCAGGCAGTTATACACTGAAACAATCCCAGGCAGTTTAATTATAAACTGATAAACCCTAGACAATTACGAACTGATACAACCCCAGGCAGTTATACACTGAAACAATCCCAGGCAGTTTAATTATAAACTGATAAACCCTAGACAATTACGAACTGATATAAACCCAGGCAGTTATACACTGAAACAATCCCAGGCAGTTTAATTATCAACTGATAAACCCTAGACAATTACAAACTGATACAACCTCAGGCAGTTATACACTGACACAATCCAAGGCAGTTTAATTATAAACTGATACAACCCCAGAAAGTTGTGCACTGACACAATCCTAGGCAGTTATAAACTAATACTACCCTAGACAGTTATAAATTGATAAACCGTAGACAGTTATAAACTGATACAACTCTAGGCAGTTATAAACTGATACAACCCCAGAAAGTTGTACACTGACACAATCCCCGGCAGTTATAAACTAATACAACCCAAAACATTTATAAATTGATAAACCCTAGACAGTTATAAATTGATAAACCATAGACAGTTATAAACTGATACAACCATAGACATTTATAAACTGATAAACCCTAGAGTTATAAACTGATACAACAATAGATTTTTATAAACTGATAAACCCTAGACTGTTATACACTGATACAACACTATAAACTGATAAACCCTAGACTATATACACTGATACAACACTATAAACTGATAAACCCTAGACTATATACACTGATACAACACTATAAACTGATAAACCCTAGACAGTTATACACTGATACAACACTATAAACTGATAAACCCTAGACTGTTATACACTGATACAACACTAGAAACTGATAAACCCTAGACAGTTATAAAGTGTTACAATTCTAAACATTTATAAAGAATTTAATAATATCCTTGAGGTATAATATTCATAATAACATAACTTTATGGATTTACTACATCTTAGTTTATTACATGCAACATTCCAATACTTTTACAAGTATCCTTCTCGAGTAATGGACAATATTAAATCCAACCATACATTTATAGTACATCCATGTGCATCCATATGTTAAACGAATTATAACAATTAAAACATCAAAATAATTAAGACAAAATAACAACAAAGACTAAAGCCACCATCATAACTTAATTATGAAAATACAATCCCAATTACTTACTACATAATTAACTAATATTTCATTTTTGAACATGACTTCTTAAAAACCCAGTAACCTTAACTAATCTATATTGTAGTTAACACAATTAATTACCCTAGGTTAAAAATTTAATATTTCAGGTACACCTACTCAACCATCAGAGAAAAAAAGTGGTCGACAAAATATTGCCATGCAGGTTATTGTTTATTACTACATTTATTATAGTATTTAATTTAAAAAAAACATGACTCCTTTAGTTTGCGGATGGATGGTACAGAATTTTGCTGAATGGCTAGGTTTTTCTTAATTATTTTCTAATTCTAGATTTATTGATGAATCTTTATGCCCATTTTATTATTATTTTCCATTTCTCACAATGTTTCATTAGTTTTGTATTTATTTTGTAGACAATTTACCAGAAACATGGACAAAAGATGGGTGGTGGCGATGTAAATAAAAAGGTTGGTTTTGATCTAAGACATAATTTAACTAACGGCCTGTATCCACTAAAAGCTACAAATAATACATACAGATGTTAGTTATAAAGGGATATTGCCAGATATTACGGCTCTATTTTAACGATGCACTTTACCATGGTGTAGTGGGTATGCTTGAAACCATAAGCTCTGTCACAAAGTGAAGTGGTGGGGTTTTGATTCCCCACTTCTACGTGACAAGGATTAGGGACGCCTGTCCAACCACGTGGGTTTTCTCCAGGTCCTCTGGTTTCCTTTCCACTGCTAAAAGACACCTATGCGCAAGTCAATTATTGAAATAGAATTAAACCATATGTTAGTACCGAAATAATCTAGTTTGTGTCGAGTGGACGTTAAACTCCATTACTCTCTCTATTTTGTAAGATAAACAAAAAATTAAAGTTGTATTATTCGAGTAGTTCCATTATTGATATAAATAGACTGTGCATATAAGAAAAATATATGATTCTTTCATCCTCAGCCTATTAATCTTTTGGAGGAAGTAGTAGAATATTAAAATTGGTTTGTCTGTCTGTCCGTCACACCTTTTGGAACACAATATCTCTATTTGTAATTGAGGTAGAAAGTTGGAACTTTACGTAGATATTCATTAGGGTAATGTCTTGACTGAGTGTAAGGCTAAGCAGAGATAAAAACTTTGCTTTTTTGATGCCATGGAACTTGAATGAGATTGATGAATCTAGGTCTATAGTTTCCTTGCATCAAAAAGCATTAAGCAGATTGATTTATGGAATTTATGAAGTTTTTTTTATTAAAGATTAATGTGCTAGTAGTTAATGAGTGTGTTAAATAAACCTTTGGATGTAATTCTTCACAAAAGAACTAATCTTTTGTTTTTTTCAGTTGGAGGTTGTGACTACAGAGAACACGACTTCAGGTCAAAGGTCACCAAAATATATTTTAGGCATACCTACCACTGAACCTCAGTTTATGAGACATGGCGGTCAGGGCAGACTGAACCAAAGTCAACTCCCTCCTCGACTACAGAATCAACAAAATCAACAAAATCATCAACAACAACAACAATTTAACAACCAAACATCAAATGTTACTTCACCACCTGCAGAAGAAGCATCTCTATCACCAGGTAGTAACTATGGTTACAGGAACCCTACCAACATGTCTGTACAAAGAGGACAATTTCAAGATGTCTCCAGTCCACCAAAGCACGATTCCAGCCCCAATCATCCACCACAATATAATATGGTTCCTGGTATGTCACCATACCAACAAGAACATTTCAGAATGTCTTCACCAGCCCAAGGTCAAGGTCAGACCTACAGTGAAAGTCAAAATATGCCACCTATGGCTACAGGCCAGATGCGAATGCCACATATGATGCCACCTAATCAGAACCTGGGACCTATGACTCCACCACCCAACCTTCAGCTACTTAATGCTATCAAAATGGCAGCCATGGGGCCAAATGCTGCTAAAGGAATAATGGGAATGAATCAAGCAGGAGTACCAAATGTTCCAGGAATAATGCCACCACACATGAATTATAATCAAGGATCTGATCTCCCTCCAGGACCAACAACAATGCAACAGAGAATGATGAAACCAGGCCAGATGTTGCCAAATTTCCCGGCCTTCTCTAATGTGAATTATGTGGGAACTACCCCTTCTAGTGGTGGATCTCGACAACCTGCTCCTAACAACATGCCTAGATTTGTTACCAGTGAATCTATGTTACAAAGTGGAAAAAGTATGATGGCTGGATATTCACCTCTTACTATACAAGTAGGTCTAGTTTATAGTCTATTTAAAGTTGATTAAAATTTGGTGTCACTATATAAACAGGTTTGTCACTATATTCGTTGATCAGTAGCTATACAAACAAGTACTGTCATTATCTTCAGGTGTATTACAAATAAATTGAATATAATAGCACATAGATTTCATTTGGAATAGGGTTTATTTTGTGCAAGTACAATGTGTATATTGATAACTGACACTGAGCCTCAAAATAAATCCTAAACACTGGTTTTAGATCCGTTTTTACAGTTAAGAGAGCAAACGCCAACCGGTCAAATATTGTTCAATTATTATAGGAATTTAATTTTACTTTAGCATGTATTGGACTGTAACTTCATGGATTCTGGCCTCTGATTGTACAAAAACTTGCATTTTTTCACTTGTGGACACTCTAGAGGTCACAATTTTTATCTGATTTTGATGAAACTTAAAATGTACATGTCTGTTTATAACCCAAACATCTTGGTTCCTTTCGATATTGGCGCATATTGGACTGTAACTTCGTGGATGATGGCCCATAATGGCAGTTAAGTTTGAATTTCGTGAAGATCGGACCGACACTGCCCAACAAAATGGCCCCTTCCTGTAAGCAAATAGTGTAAAAGTATGTAATACCAAGGCTGTGGCCCATCTAAATGTCACATTTTTTTGATGAAAGTTAAAATATATGTTCATATCGCAAAGATCTGGGTTCCTTTCGATACTTGCGCGTATCAGACCCTAACTTCCTGGATTATGGCCCCTGATTATACGAATAATCTGTTGTTTTCTTTAGCTTATTCTCTGTCCATTGCTTGCAAAATGTGGGCGTGGCAGCTGCTTGTATCAATACAATTCAATATAATCAATAATTTTGATTTCTACGGAAAGATAGTAATTTTAGTATGTATTTTTTTTTTTTTTAAACAATATTTTATTGAATATTAGGATTAGGAAACAGGCAAAGCCTATATAATGTAATAATGTATGTAATAAACATGTAAGCATTCTTTTATTTCCAATTTTAATTTTACCTAGCTGATAATTCTTTAAATTTTTAAATCATGAAGTGAAAAAATAAAATAATACCCAACTTACCAGTTTAATGTAGTATAAATTCCTGTAAAAAATATGAATAAACAGATGATGAAATACATGTACAACTACCATGGTTAGCCATAAAATCTGTTGACAAAATAAAAAATAAAATCTCCCTCTTGAAGGATTGTTTGAGAACCAGAATTTTTTTGTACGTGGCCTCATCCAATGACAAAAAATCTAGCAAAACTATAACACACAGAATATTTGTTTTGTATGACCTAATTTTGTTTTTTGAGCTATGAAAATGATGATATTTTGATATTCCGAATTTGGTACTGCTCAAATTTGTTATTCAAATTACCGCTTTACCTATAAAATTACTTTACAGCAGTCACTTATAAAAATTTGCATATCAGGGCCATTCAGGGGAATTGCAGTGTAATTGGACGATACTTGTAAATTGAATTTGTTTTATAAAGAGTTCTTGTAATGAATGTGATATAAATGGAAGTTTTATGACAAAGGAGATGTACTTTTTTGTTTAAAACAAATACCAAATCTTTCCTAATCAATAAAAACTCATGTTGACCTAAATATTAAAGAAAATTAAGATACATTATGTAAGAGCTAAATCAGCCTATTGCAGGGTTTTTTTCTGGCTTCAGATGTTGTATTAGGTAAACATTTTTTCACAAGACAAGCCCATAATCAACTCTCTGGAGCATCAGATGATTGAGATATTGAATGGATTAGACCATCTGTGTCATATAATTGGTAAATTTATACTGAAGCATTTAAGGTCATGCATAAGGCAAAGAAGCCTATTGATTCTGAATGATAATTACTGCCAGATTTACAATAATTACTTCCAGAGTTATGTCAGTTATTTCCAATGATTACTGCCTTTTAGTACTTTTACTGCGTAAAAACCTTTTTATCACTTTGAAAAATTTGTGGATGCCTCAGAGTCCACAGTTATCATCCGATAACAAAGAAAGACAAAGAAGCTGTTTGATTTTCAATGATTTACAATAATAACTTGAACAGCTAAATTCATGATATCACTTGTTTTGTTTAATAAAAATGTTAGCATCGGACAGAACTAGAAAAAGAAAAATTATGTGACAACCCTAATTAAGTACTCGCATGACTTCAGTTGTTGTTTCATTGCATGGCAACCTATCTTTTTCCAAGTAGTAATCTCAACTGTACTTTGAACCAGAAACAGACCATTATGGTCATCACAATCATATTGGAATCGTGACCTATCAAAATGGCAATTGCCATGGGAAGCAGTATGGCAAGTTTCATATTGGATGGCCGAATGGTTGGCACGCTGTATCATAAGGTCTGTCATTGAGTCAACTGGTGTGGTTTCAATTCCCCGGTTGTACATGACAAGGGAAAGGTCGCCTGTCCAGCCTTGTGGGTTTTCTCTGGGTCCTCCGGTTTCCTCCCACTTCTAAAGATCCCTATGGGCCAGGGAATTATTGAAATTGAACCATGTGTTAGTCCTGAAATGACCTAGTTTGTGTCGAGTGGATTTTAAATCATGTTGCGGTTTGACAGAAAGATACAGTCCTTCTCACATTTACATCAATGTACTTTATTGGTACTTTAAAATTTTGGTCCCATTTGCATCAATGTTTGGATTTTGCTTCTATGGTACTGTTAAATTTGTATTTCAAATGTGGCTGTAAAGGTTCATCTAGTAATATTAACAAAGTTCCCAATGAACAAAGACACATTTTGACAGTTTGTCAGAATTCTAATATTTTTGTCAAAAAGAGCCGCGATAGAACTAGAAGGTGGATGTTTTCTATGTAGGAGGAAAATCTAGCATATATACTAGATCTTTGTGCAAAACGAGCACTTTGTATGTTATTTAAGTCTAATACTTGTGATATTTGCACAATTCAGTTTGAATGGTGAATATGGTCTGTTCTTCGGGAACAGCAGAGTATCTGCTAGCAGATTTCAATAAATCCAGTGGTTGTCAACCTTTCTTTGCTAACGGAACACACCTTGGAACACATGAAAAAATAGCAGCACACCTAGCTGAATATATATGAAAAATATTTGAATTTTGCAAAATAAAAAAAAAACGTAGACAGAGACTAGTCATAGAAACATAGAATGTCTTAAACTAAATAAAGAAAAACACATCTATGAACTTATCAGCGAATACTCAATTGGGATCATGTAGTTTTTCGCATTTTCTTATTGTGCCTTTCAAAATTCCGCAGCACACTTAGGAAGATCTTGCCGCACACCTGTGTGCCACGGCACACTGTTTGAGAATCACTGCAATAAATCAATGGCAATCAGAAACATATTATATTTTACAAAGGTTAAAGATTAGTGGCCATTAATAATAAACTTCAGAATACTTATAGATTGTCAGTATTCTTAAACGTTATTATTGATTTTATCTATCAGACAATATGGAACGGTTTAGTTAGATGCCATTTTATCTGCAAATGGTTAAATAAAATAAGGTTTCAGCAATATGTCTTCATTTTGAATATATATCTGAATGTTAACTATGTTTTCAATAATTTCTACCTTCGTTTATAAATATATTCTGTTTAAGTGTGATTTATAAAAACATACAATAAATGACCTAAAAGGGGATCCCTGTTTATTTTATTTTTATTGTTCTATTGCCAGTGGTTTTGATATTTCTACTATATGAACAACCTCCGACGACAATATATATATTTCGGTTTGGTTAAGTAACGGACGCTTCTATTGGTTAAACATGAAAGGTATATCAGCATATACTGATGGCGACATTCAGGTTATACAATGCATATTTTCATTATGGCGACATAACATAAACAATATTCAAAATTTAGTAAACTATATACCGCAATACTGTTCTAATCCGTTTTACATAATTCATGTACACAATGACAAAATAAGCATTTTTAGATTTGTTAAATTGGAGCAGAATAAATATTTCTCAAAATTCTCAAAGTGTAGTATTTTCACCTATCGGTCAACCAGCTTCATGTTGGTTCTCAAAAGGATCCAATTGTAGTAAGTTTCTCAGGGGGGTTGGATGGCCGAATGGTTAGCATGCGCGCGCTGTATCATACAGCCTGTCATTGAGTCAACTGGCGTGGTTTCGAATGCCCGGTTGTACGTGACAAGGAGTAGGGTCGCCTGTCCAACCTCGTTGGTTTTCTCCGGGTCCTCCGGTTTCCTCCCACTGCTAAAGACCCCTACGCACAAGCGAATTATTGAAATAAAAAATTAAACCATATGTTCGTCCCGCAATGACCTAGTTGTGTTGAGTGGACGTTAAACCCCATTTCTCTCTCTCTGTAGTAAGTTTCATATGGTCACAACCCGAATAATATATCCAACTCACATGCAGTGGTTATGGAAAGGACGATATGATCTTTGTTTCAATTGTTTGCAATGGTAGTGTTGTGACAGTGACAGAGTTATATAAAATAAATCAGTGGTGATATAGTCTATGCTATAACCATGTAATTTTGTCTTTTGAAAATTCATATGTTGATAGAATCTAGCAAATGCAATTTTCCAATTAATACAATTTATATTGCTACTTACTTAGTTATTTCTTGTCTACTACTTTGTTATTTCTGCTTATGAATGGCTGGTTTATAAATTTAGTAGAATTTTCTAATTTCTTGTATATATATAGTATTCAAAAGTTTTATTGACATGTCTAATTATTGTAAATTGTAGCACAAATTAGAAATTTCCTCGATTCTGATAGGTCGAAAAGTGTGGAAAAAAGTTATCCAATCTTTGTGAATGTTATATATATTATTTGAGTTAGTGAAACGAAGATGCTTTTTGAATTTCAGCAATTTTCGTTAATTACTTCTAGAGTTGTGGCCCTTGTTTTACTTTGTTCACTTTGTGAACGCTCTACTCTAACATCAAAAGTTATCTGCTGATCTGTATAAAATTTATGTGCATCATTTAGATTAATGAAACCACGAAGCCTATTGAATTTCAGCAATTTACAATAATTACTTCTCGAGTTATGGCCTTGTTTCACTTTGTTCAACCTTGTTAATGCTCGATTGATGAAAGTTATCATCAGATATGTATGGAATTTATATGCATCATTTAAAATTTGTGAAACAGAGGTCTAATAAATTTCAGCAATTTCCGTCAATTATTTCTAGAGTTTTGGCCCTTGTTTTACTTTGTGAACCTTGTGAACGTTCAAATGACAAAAGTTATCATCCAATCTGTATGAAATTTATATCAAATTTCAAAACTTTCTGTAAATTACTTCCAGAGTTATGGCCCTTGTTTCCTAAATAGCTCCGAAGAAAATGCCTAAATATTTGAGCTACACTATTGATAAACACGTTCTTTTTTCGTATTTATCGGGGGTTTATTCTCCATTAAACCATGCTTGAATTATCCATTAGAACAATAAATGGACAATAAACCCATGCATTATACGGCCACATTATCCAAGAGATGGATAGAGAACAAGCTATAAAAAAATGTAATTTTCCGTACAATCACTATAAGGGGCATTAATTCAGAAAGTAATTGTCTGAAATGCACGAATATCGAAAGAAATTGAGATCTTTGGGATATAAACATATATTTCAAGTGTCATCAAAATCGGACAAAAATTGTGACCTCTAAGGTGTCCATAACTTTTGTAGTACATACTTTTACACTATTTGCGTACAATGAGCGACCATTTTGTTGGGCAGTTTCGTTTTGATTTTCCCGAAGTTCAAACTCAACCTTGATTACAGTGCAACAGTGATAAATTTAATCGGTCTTTATTTAAAATCATATAAAAATTGTGACCTCTTAAAGATGGCTTCCCGCGTACAAACTGGGTGATTTAATGGTTTAAATGGACTAAAAACATATTCAAACTAATTAATTTGTCATAACTTTGCTTCAAATACTTCTGAAACATTGTAATTGCGAAGGAATGTCCTGCTATAAAAATTTGATCAAACCAGGTCATGTTTACGTCACGTGACTTACCTCTCTTGGAAGTCAGAGGAGAATTCGTTGCATACATAAGACGATGTTGTCTTTAATCGCTTACTATTACAAATATCGAATCTTAATTAAATTCTTGCATTATCCACTACCCGCGTCTTTTTCCGTCATTTTTATCTCATAAAGTGTTGTTCGTCTAACTCTTCATAAAGTTTATCAACTTGTACATCAAGCGCTCAATGTTCGCGTGTGACCTTTAACATCGCGCGTGCAGAATTTCCTAATCATCAGGCTGTCGATTAGGGGAACCCTTACATTTTTGTATTGTATACGCTCCATGAGTGTTTTCCCGGGAATCCAGTATTTTTCTAGAAAGATTGGATATCTCTACTTTCCATCTATACCAAAATTGCCATACTTTTATTTGAAATAACCACCCGATAAATACTTTTCTGGGAACCCATCTTTAATGGTTCCACAAACTAAAAATGTGATTTTTCGTACAATCAGGGGCTATAATGTGCACGAATATCGAAAGGAAACGAGATCTTTTGGATATTTAAGTTTTATCAAAATTGGATGAAAATTGTGACCTCTAGAGGGCTCACAACCTTGGTCCGATTTTTACAAATTACGAACTCAACCATCATCAGGGTGTAACAATGATATAATTAAACAATTTTTAAGATTGGATAAAAGTGTGACCTCTAGCTGGTCAACAAGCTAAAATCATGATTTTTTCGTATACAATCAGGGGCCATAATCCAGGAAGTTACGGTCTAGTATGTGCAAATATTGACAGGAACCAAGATCTTTGTGATATAAACATGTTTTAAGTTTCATCAAAATTGGATCAAAATTGTGACCTCTAGATGGTCCACAACATAATCCTTTCATGGTACTTGTAATCAGGCAAATGACAAATATAAGCAAATTTGCATGTAAAGGCTAGCAGACATCAATGGGCGTCCTCGCTAAAGGAATTTCCACCGGACGTTGCTACTGCTAGTAAAAACTTGGTTCCACGTCATCTTATAGATGGTAAGAGAACCATATTTCGAAGTTCGGGATTAAATTCTATATCAATGACAAAAACTAACGTTTGTCAACACACCAGTTTGTAGTATAGATTAAAATTTTGTCTTAGAGATTTAGGTTTGATTTTTTATTTAGGAAGCTCAAAAGAGATCAGGATCATCTGATGGTAGAATCATCTGATAATGTTCATTGACATTAACTTTGTTGTATACAGTGATAACTGGTTATTTTTAAAGGCTTGTTTCAGTCAGATATTTGAAATGATGATGGTAGTCTGTTTACACATTTATTCTTTCCTTTCAGCCTCCAAAACAAAATATTATAGATTCACGGCTGACATCAACATTTCAAGGTCATGCTGAGGTAACAAAATTAATTTTTATAAAACATTACTACATGTACTATCATCTATTATCACTCTTTAATAAATTTCCTAATAAATTAAAGATGCAATATATGCACAGGGTACAATTTTATGGATACACAGTTGATAAAGACGAGAATATCCCCATTGAAACGTTGAAAATAACAATTGTACACACAAAAATAAATTTATAAAAAATTGGCAGTCCTTGGATGAGATTTAACCTGTAAAAATACTCAAAGTACGGTGTGCAAATAAGCTAAAGTCACCAAAAATAAAATCTGATCTTTATAACTTATTATGTAAATACAGATTTTTTAAGTTGTTGTATATTGTAAATGTCTAGATAGGTAATTGTTTTATGATAGGCCTACCAGGGACATAAAATTGTTATATGACATTTTGACATATCAAATATCCCAGTGACAGAAAAAAAATATGAACATTTTTTTATATATAAGAATTATTATCCATTTTGGGGAAAAAAACCTGAAAGCCAGTGTGAGCCCTGCTAAAAGGAAATCATTATAATCCCTCCTGAAGATCGAAAGTAGAGGTTATAAGTGACATTTGACACCAAATAAAGATGTTAAAAAATATCTACTCAAAGTATTTTAAAATCTTTGTTGATTATTTATCTTAATGTGAGATTTTGTGATTTTTGGTAAATTGTTTGAAAACGTCCACAACAAGTTTTAAAATACAACAATTCGGATATAAAAAGTAAATATTTACTTCAGTGCACTACTCTGGTGCATTCAAAATCATTTTATACATTCAAAATTGGTAGTCTTGACCATCAAAAAAAGAAATTCAGTGATATTTCAGTTGTGATAGATGGTAGACCTGGATAATTGCGTCATCCAGTGTTAAACTGTTGCTGGAGGCAGCCATGATTGTTTACTGTGGATCTCCGCTTGTATCTCCATTATTACACAACAAACAGTCAGACTGTTGTGTCCTCTGAATTATTTTACACATGGAACAAGTACGCAAAGTCTTCATAAAATTGGTGCTGAAAAGTTAATGTGTATCATATCTTAGACTGTAATCAACTCTCTAGACTATCAGATGGCCGAGATTTAAATGGATAATCAAAACTTAGTCTCAGTTGTCAAGTACTGTTGCTATGATAATAAATGATCTATCCTGCATCTTCAAACAGTCATAACCTTTGCCCAGAATAAAGTAATTGAAATGAAATTTTCAATGATTTTTTACATGAATATTTAATAATCTAATTTTGACTTATTATAGCAATAATGGCCAGCTCATATCTAAATCTTACATAATTATGCATATTTAATGTTCACAAATGTTTTTATCTACATGTATATAATAAAAGAGAAAGTTTGAATGTTTAATTGTGGGTTTGCTATAGGAAACCAAATAGACCGGAGGCTCAGTGCAGGGGGTGTCAGTCTGCTGTTGGGGTATTTTCGAGATATTCAGGGTCAAAGGTTAAATGAGGTCATTTGCACTGAAAGTGAATGCTCAGCCATTTTTGTATCATGAAAACTTGCTGAACATGATTGAAAGTAATCACCCTTTCAATAAAAATGTAAACTTGCTAAATTCATGATATAAGAATGGCTGCGCATTCACTTTCAGTGCAGGGGGTAGGATGGCCGAATGGTTAGCACGTGCACGCTGTATCATAAGGCCTATCATTGAGTCATCTGGTGTGGTTATGAATCCCCTGTTGTACGTGACAAGGAGTAGGGTCGCCTGTCCAACCTCGTGTTTTTTAACGGGTCCTCCGGTTTCCTCCCACTGCTAAAGACCTCTAAGCACAAGCGAATTATTGAAATAAAATTGAACCATATGTTAGTCCCAAAATGACCTAGTTTGTGTCGAGTGGACATTAAGCCCCATTTCTCTCTCTCTCTCGCTCTTTCACTTTCAGTGCAAATGACCTCATTTGACCTTAGACCCCGAATATCTCGAAAATGCCCCAACGGCAGACTGATTACCACTCGGCATCGTATTCTACGCAGAATTTTACTGTAGAAAAGTTGGGTTTGGTTTTGTGCCCATTTGATGGACATCCCCCTGCACTGAGCCTCCAGACTAAAATGATTGAAGTTATAATTTTAAAATGACTTCATGGTTAACCATTTTTTTCTACAAGGAATTGTGCTATTTAATTTGTATTTGGTGTACTAATTAATGATCAAATTGACAATTATTGTATTATTATTGTAATTTATAGAGGTTACAAAAATGGAAATAAATGCTGGCAAGGGAAACATACTATATATATGTATACTACTCCTGTGCCATTGATAAAAAGATACAGCAATTCAATTCTGTAGAATTTGTTTCAGAAGCAGATCTTGTAGATATTATTTGAAACTTTACACTATGTGGTTAGCTAACCATAACCTACAAATTGCAATTTAACCTGTTTTCTAAACCTACAAATATTTTATTGATTTTGGTATTTATATTTTACTTCCCAGCCAACATACTAAATTTATTTCAATGCTACACGCATATTAAAAGTGATCCTTTTAAAATATAGGCAAGAGAAAACTATAGACAAGAGAAATTTGATCATTTTCAATATGCAAACCATTGGTTTCTTTTAACATGTATGATACCTGATATTGTGTTTTATATATTTATAGGGAACTCCTAAACCTGAGAATATGGCTGTTGAGAAAAGGTAGGTTTTAAACTTATTAATATATAACAGAGCAGCTAAACCTCTAACTCAATATTATCCATAACATTCGTAATTAAAAAACATGAATTAGAATTCAATATTGTTCCATTTAAATCAATATTGATAATGTTAATCTAACGTTTCGAGTGGCATTTGTATTGAACAAACACAAACATATCCCACAGGACAATGTGAAAGTAATTAAAAATGGCTGATTCAAAAATGACAAAATAATTTTTTAAAAAACATCTAGAATGGATTAACCACTAACCAGGTGCAAACGACTGCTGCTCAATTAGTACTCTTCATGCATATTATGCCAAAATTATAATCAATTTTTAAGATACATTATGTAAGATTTAGATAAAGAGCTAGCCATTCTTGCAATAATAGTTCGAAAATAGATAATGTAAAATGAATAATTTGAAAATTTCATTCAAATTACTCTTTGAAGGTTTGACAAGATGTGTGCAATAATTTCAACCACCGTACTGGTTGTTTGGAGCTAAGTCTCGCTCCTCTATTTTCGGCTTAAATCAAAATATGACTGAACTGTTCTAATCTATTTAAAATTTAATATCGGAGAAGTCTGATGTCATCGAGAGTTGATTATAACCTGAATGAATTAATTAATGTCTAATTAATAATTTAGAAAACATTTCGGGCCTAAAGAAAGACCTGCAATAGGCAGATTTAGCTCTTGCATAATGTATGTTTAAAAAATTGAATGTGAATCATTTTATACATTCATATTACATTAAAATCTGCTTTTAGACTATTTTCATCTATTTTATGGTTCCAAAAATAGAGCTATGCACCCTGTAATTATGTAAAACAAATATTTGTACTAAAAAAAAAAGTATTTGTGTTCTACATCATGTCCTAAATTACATTTTGAAAGTTTATTTTACAGAGAAATAGAGAGTCTGGTTGTAACAACAGTAGCACCACCTACACAGCCTGGAGTTTATTCTTTATTTAGTAGTTCAACCCCATGGTCTGTCTCCTTACCAACAGCTAGTGACTCAAAAAGTATGTTGTTTACAGATAATTTACCATCCATAGTTCATTTTCTGTTGGCACACACTGCATGTAAGATTTTAAAGGGACATGAAAGTGGTACAGTTTTATTTGCCTCTAAATTCTAATGATATGGGTTGTCTCTCTTTGGAATGAAGACGTCTACTAAGTTTCAACTTTTTTCAGTGATCACCTCCAGAGTTATCCCCATTTATTACAAAATCTTTTTAGCATTTAATTTCACTGGCTTGCTAAATTCCTTGTATTCATCAGGCCCAAGATATGGATTCATGTTTCATGGTTTTGATCCAGTCTTTTGTGTGAGCCAAGCCAGAGAGTAGGTTTGCCTGTCTAACCTCATGGGTTCTCCAGTTTCCTTTCACTCCCACCTCTACGCACAACAAATTACTAAAATAGAGATGGTAGTTTGTATGATAGCACCTATTTAAGTTAATATACACCCCTGCTTGAAATGATGTTTGAGAATCTTATTGATTATTTCTGTTTGAACAGGTGTAGGTTCATCACCATTTTCTTCAGCTGCTAGTAGTATGAGGAATTCACCAGAACATCAGTCAGACTTTACACCAGGTGGTGCACCTAATAACCCTACTATACCGTCTTCTAAACAAACTTCAAACATGTCTGCTTCTCCTAATTATGATCCAAGTCCTAGATTTAATACACCAAGTGAGAACTGGAATCAGCAAGTTACCATGATGATGGGAGATGGTTCGAGTCACATGGTTGGTACATCGAGTACAAATCATGCTCCACCACGATATGTCCAAAATAATATGCAGGTAAATATGCGAAGGATTTTATAACAAATACACATCGTGTAGCTTTCAGACAATGCAGAAAGAGTGCACAACGACAAACAAACAGAACAAGCAACACAGGAGGACAACAGCAAAGAATTTACTGTACAATTATAAATGTACCATATAGATCAATACACTAATTTTATGTAGTAATATCAAAAAACAGTATTTATATGCAGTTTCAACAAATGATTCTTAAACAATGGGTGACTATTCATTTACATAGCTGTTGTCAATTGAGTAAAATAAATTTTAAGGTTTTTATCTATAATACTATTAAAGAAATTTCCTATCTGTTTTTAGATGTTTTGGACCAACCAAGGAAATCAAGGCATGTCGCCTTTGGAGAAACTACTAGAAATGCAGAAACAACGCCAGAATGATCCACACTGAAGGAAGGATGGAATTGCGAGAAATGGTTCAACTTACATAAAATGACTGTTCACTGTTGACTATCTAGTGACAGTTAAATCCATTCTACTTCTAAATGTGGCCAGAATTTCACCAACAACATCCTCTTAATTCATCGTTTGAGTGATTCAAGAAATATTGACAAAAAATGGCAATGATTTATGGGAAAGGAACGAAGATCAAATGAAACAGCTTTGGTACCAAAGTTGGTACCCATGTTCACCAAAAGTGAATGTAAAAAAACGGTACCGAAAGTGATTTGTTTTTAGAGTGATGTTTTGGTTATGAATTTTGGAATTAGAAGTGTAGCGCTGTATAATGAAATACATATATAATGTGAATATAGATATTGAAATGATATTTATAATATATATATACACCGTAAGCTACTCAAATAAAAAGCTGACTTTAAAATGATTATGTCTCGGGTACAACATATAACAAACTCTTATTTGGTTATGGTATGAGACATTACAGTGATGTATATAATCATACTAAAGCTTATGTTTGATTAAAATATTTTGTAAATAAGCATGACAAGATTTCCCGGAATTTTAAGTCTCATTATATTAAAAAATAGAAAAGAAGAAACAAAGAAATTGTTGAAAAAAATGAAAATAAAATTCATTTTTATGTGATAAGTACATATAGTGTTTTATGTAGCTTGAAAAAATGTGAATATGCTTGAAAATTATCTTTAGTTAAAAAGTCCTTAATGTGTTAAGATTGATGATTGTGCTGTTTGGTTTAATGGGGGTTTTTTTTTTCAGCCAACAGACGCTTAATAAATTCCCTTTTTTTTTTTTTGAAACGTGGTAAAAATTATTAACCCATATATGCACATATTTGCTGATTATTTTGTAAATTACTGTTTTCTCAAAAAAGTGCGTATTGATAATTGCAGTGGCTGATATTATTGTTAGCTGGTGGCCTGAAGAAAGAAATAGAGATTTTTCAACCCTGTGGTTAGCTTTTGAAAGTTTAAGAATCCGGAGAATTGCATGGATCATAACTTGTCTGAAGTTTAATTGGTTGTTAAAATGAATGAGAAGTTTTCAGTAATGTATATCTGTATTATTAGGATGTTAAGGTACCAGTTTAAAGGAATGAATGAACATTCTCTATAAATTTGAAACTTTGAGACTAATAATGTGAGTGATGGACTGATTAAAGTGACACTCCCTCCAATCTGAGCACAAAATGTTTGTTGTTTTTGTCACCTGGATACTAAAGTGATCATTACGCTTTTCGAATATTAAAATAAATCATTCAAGCAATTAAATGAAAAGAGCTCACAATATAGATTTGTTTTATGAATTTTGTGTTAAACTGATTTTGATCTCAAAAAAACATGGATGTTAATATTTGAATATATCTGGATATACAAAGCTTAAAATTTGTCACTTTAATGATATATATTCTGTAGTTTTAAATTTGCACTAGAGCCTCACTCTAGTGTGGTTCAGTATAAGGTTGGGTGTAGAATAGCATCTGGTATTATTATTGGGGGTTACGATTATCAATCTGAAACTGTTGAAATTGACAGCATCACAATTGAGTGACACAGAATTGAACCTTGTCACAATTTTAACAATTCTAAAAATAGATGTGGTGTGAGCAGATTCATGATACAATCAAACATTTCTGCTATGGAGCATAACTGGGGTTATATCAAAGCAGTGGCCCCCCTTGGGATATAGTTAAACACATATACACTGTTTATGTTAAGACATAAAAATTAATGGTTAAATGTATGTTTTAAAACATTCAAGTATGGAGACATTTTATGAAAATATATTATGTTTATTGAAAACTGTGTGAACTTAAAGATACCTTCCTATGTACAAACTGTTTGATTTGATGATGTATTTTTTGGATTAAAAATATATTCAAACTATCAAAAGTTTGCTTCGATTCCCTCTCAAGACATTTTAATCACAAGAACTACAACAAGCCATAAAAATCTATTTTAAGCACTCTTAAAATGTTGAGTGGACAACAAGCCAACAGATTCCAGTTAGTGATCCTTTTCAATTTTTATCCAATGTGTGTCCCATGGATGTTTTTCAGGGAATCCAAAATTTTCTAGTAAGATTGGGTGTCTACTTTTTGTACATACCAAATTTGAAAACTATCATGGGAATGTATCTTTAAGTAAAGGCCCAAATCCATAAATCTATATTAAATGTAATGTGAGATATCTTACAATACAGTTATGGAAGTTAGTCTTATAGTAGACTTAGCATAGATTTATGCATATTGGGCTAAAATATTATTTTGGTGGTAAAGATATCTAAAGTTGCTCAGGCCAATATTGTTTATTTGTGTATTAAGTTTAGAATTGCCTTTGCGAAAATGGAAAACTAAGTGAGGATAGTCTATAATCTTAAAAGAAAATTGACTGTTACAAACTAAAACCTTTAAATATTTCAAATTTTCAAATAAAGGATGAGTTCTATTAATTGTAACCGCAAAAATTGTATTTTACAGGATGGTTTATTTTTTATGTATGTTTTGAAAGTATCTAAGACTTGGATACAACCTTTAATTTGCAGATGCACAGGCAGTATGTAGAAAAATTTCTAAAACTCAGTACCATTATATTAGAACGTGGGATTGTTGATGCATAAATGTAATGTGAAGTGATACTTACATCTTTACAAAAATATCCGGCCTGTAAGAACATATTTTAGTTTGGAATATGTATAACAGTTCATGTAAATCTATAAGTAATGTTTCATCAATATTGTTATATAAGTTGTATAGAATGGTATGATAATACAGCTTGAATGACACACATATATACTTATTTATTATTATTATTATTAAAGTGGCCTTAACCTTTGGGATGGCACACTTCTTTCCCCCCCACACACCAAATTTGAAGGTTAAAACAAAATTGACAGCTGCAGACATCAACAGGATGTTAAACCTCATTGACAGAAACTCAACGATTTATTGCTCATTAGTTTCCTATTGTCTTCATGTCATGGATTATTAATCCCTCTCCTGCATTTGTACTTGTAAACCAAAAATTGATATGCATCAAGTTGCAGGGAAAATCAAAGTTGTTTTTTTTATTTTGGACACAACTCACCATTAAAACCATAGTCTATGCTGTTTCAAAAATATGTTGTTTCGTAATGCTCTCAAGGACAGTTGGAATACCATTCAACCCTTTGGAAATTTGAGAATTTGAATGTCGACAGACATATCAAAGATATGTTTTAAAATATCTTATTAACTTGTCACCCAGGTCAAATTAACTTTGTATTTACTATTGAAAAGGGAAGAGAATTTTGGACAGGAAGCCATGAACAATAGATATTTATTTAGTTTGCAAAACTAGACACACTGTTGCCCCAATAGTTCGGACGTGGCTTCTCCTTGTAAGTAGTGCAGGATTGTGGGCCTGGCAAGGAACAGCTTCTAGCATTCGGATGGTATGAAAATCCAGGTCCAGTGCACACATTGGCATGATGTAGAACCTTTGGGGATGGGAATTCAGAATAACAGTATGTTATAGTGCCACTTTCCGGACAAAATATCCTTCATAGCTGATTGCATGGCGTGGACCTGTCTTCATTAGCAGAAAAGTATAAGTTAAACTCCATTTCATTTCTCATGGCTCACATCAAGATTGTGACATGTAATGTAGCTTCAGAAGATTGTTTTCACAAATGAACCTAATACCTGCTTAATAACACATTGTGTCAAACTCGTGTTTGTGATGTATTTTGAAGCATGAAATAATTGGACCTATGGTAATGTGTCACATTTTACAAGGAGATGATGTTGGTTGTTTGTGAGATCACCACAGGTTTGTAGCCCACATACATGGTATAAAAATATGTCTCAATAGATTATAGCTGGAGATTCTTAGTTACCATAGTAACTGGAATCTTCAAGTCATGATTTCAATTTATTTGTATTGGTGTATTTTATTTCACAGATTATAAGGCTTGAAAAATCAATATTTAATCCTACATAACATCTTTACAAAAAAACATGTGATTTATATCCTTGTTTTTGAAAGCAAATCTCAGCATTGTTATTTTTGCAATATCTAAAATGGAAATATTTCAATTTCTAAATTAAAATGTTCTGAAAGTTCATTTGCAATATAAAATCCATTACAGTCAATTGTGTGCGCTCAGTAATATTTCTCTAGTGTAAAATTAACATTTAGAGGTGTATAATATAGCTCTATTTTCATGTTGAAAAGTAATTATTCATTGATGTTCATGGCTTGTCAAAGAAAAATTTAGATAGATCAATTAGATTATTTATATTCCTTTGATATTTAGAACTGTAATTATGCCACCATCCCTTGAGGAATGTATTTTGGTTTTTGTTGTCAGGAACTCAATAAGAATTGTTGTGTTGTCCCTTGATGTACTGGTTCAAAAATTTGCCATTTCCCCCCCCCCACACTTTTCGAGACAAAGGAGGCTATTGAGACTATCTGTCTTTCAAATACAACTTTGGTGCGCACTAATTTCTATGAAATATGATAAAGGGGTGAGGCAAAGCTTTTTGGAAAGTATGTGATTGAATTTTTGAAAATCTAGAATCTGCCATTTATATTTATGGGTTAAAACTCCATCCTTTCCTTTTAAAACTCCATCCTTTCCTTTTCAGAAAAAATCTTCCAATGATCAAATATTCTGTGAATGGCTTTTCTAAAATGCTTTTTTATTTATAATGATTTAGAGGAGTATCTCCATCCAGGGCCCTTTTGGAATCAGATCCATCCTCAATATAATTTGTGAATCTGCACAATACCCCCTTCAATATCTATTCTGCTACATAAAAAATTAAAATGAGATAAAAAAAAAAATATATGACCATGTTTCTGAGCTGATGCAGCATAAAATCTATATCTTTAAAAAGATAAATACTGTCATTAAACTAGACTATAAACTACAGAGCTTAATTGTTCTGTGTTATGAAGATGAAGTTCTCTGTCACGCAACTAGGGGAACATTTGTGCTATTCTGGTATATTATTGATTGAAAACAAGCGTCCCTTCTATATCACAAAATTGATTTGATAAATTTCACTGCCAAACAGAATCCCTATACATAAACACTAAACAATAATTATCTTAAATGTCGTACTCAAGTTTCCTTTTTTATCAGAAATGAAATGCGGTTATAACATCCTACTTTTTTTTTTGCATCAACCGGGCTAATGAAGACAGACATATGCCATGCAGTATGATATGAGAGAAATTCTGTCCTGACAGAGGTGCTACGACCTACTCTTAATTTGAATGCCTACTGTCAGAGGTACTTTTATGTGCTCGCCAACATGTACACGAGATCTTAATTTTTTTTATCATCCCATCCAAACAACTGTTCCACTGTTAATCCCCAAATAACCTAGTTTGTGTTGATTGATAGTTAAACCTCATGTTCATCTCTCCATTTAAATAGAATCAAGATTCATGTGCCAGCTCCTTTCACAATTGTCTAAATTTGTATGGTTTTTAATTTCACCTTCTCTATTTTATAGAAGTGTTATTTTCCATAATTTATTTTCCCAGTGAAAGAGATAATGCCTCTTTTAAGACAAAGGTCCCAGTGCCGGACTGGGCACTGCCCATTGCTCTCCATTTAAAAAAATAACACATGTAATCAATTCCAATCGGAAGTCTTTATGCCTCGAAATTACTTGCAAAGGACTTTAATGCTGCCATGGCCCTTATTCACGAAAACTTAAACTAAGATACAATCAAAATTTTAAGAAATACTGCAATTTGCATATTGGTCAGCCAATCGAATTGCAGTATTTCTTAAAATTTCGATTGTATCTTAGTTTAAGTTTTCGTGAATAAGGACCAAAGGTCTGTATCTCAGTCACAGGTTGGGAGATGTTTCAGTTTGTGCAATCAATTAAATGTTGGCAACCTCCATATAGTCACACTATTCCATTGTAATATCAACCCCATGAAAACTATTTTAAGCCTTTCAAAAGGCCACGAAATCAATCTAATGGTTGAAATTTTTAGATCACTCCTCCAATGCATAAGAAGGGATTTTTATCAGTTTAATTTTCGAAAGGCCATGACAGAACAATTCATGGACAACTTGACAAAAATATATTCTATGTAACATGCACATGTTATGGTATTAAATATTTAAAGCTGATGTTTCATTAAGTAAATATGATATTATTTTGTTCCATGAGCAAGTGATTAATATTAACTAATTTATTAGCTATGTGATCAGGTCTTATATTTCAAAGACTTTACCATTATGGAATTAGTTTTCTATCTTTAGCAGGCTTCTTTTTCATGTGTTGAATTATGTTCATTCAATAATCAGCTGAGTAATGTGAAACATTAATACCATAAAGAACCTTAAAAGTTACCGAAATTAAATTTGTAAAACAACTTACAGACAGGAGCTGTGGTGGGTAAGTGGGTAAGACGCTGGCTCGCTAACCAGGAGAACTTGAGTTCACTCCAGCTAGTTGTTCAGATTGGACAAAAAACTGAGGTCAAATGTACACATTGCCAGGCAGTCATGAACGTAAAAGAACCCTTGACAGAATTCGAAATAAGAGTAGGCCGTAGTGCCGCAATGCTGGCATTATATTCCTCATAGCACACTGTATAGTGTAAGCCTACTTCATTAGCCCAGTCGGTGCCACACTCCTTGCAGTCTTTCGCTTGATTAGACCTAATCCCACTCAAACACTGCTGGACTCGCCACTAATTCCTGTCCCAAATTATTATTGGTTAACGGTTGGGTCAACAACCAATACATTACAGCATAACAAAATCAACCGGGATTAATCAGTAAAAGTGTATGATGGCAATAGCGGCTACATTACATTATAATGCGCAAAATTTATTATGCTCAATTAACCAGCGCATGGCAGAATATTGCCGAAAAATTAATTGTGTGACAAACAAGGCTATCCAAACAATCTTGTTTCCAACTTTTAATACACTTAATCAACTGTCCAAAGTATTAGGGAATTCTCCAGATCAAAGAGACGGACTGGAATGTTACGTATTTTGTTTCAAATTAATTTTTGTTTCAACAAACTGAATAGAACTATGACTTTCAATAATGGTACTCAAGAGAGATTTTATTGGATGATAAAAATAAACACACTGCGGGTCATTCCATGTCAGGTGGGTCAATTTTCAGAAATTTGTGAAATCGACCCCCTCGAAAAAATCTGGGAAAAATATATGTTATTGTACATGCAAAAAACTGTCATCTGAGTGCAGATTCGTAATCTGCACAAAAAGTTCTCTAACGCTACTGAATTTGGGCTGTATATCTTTACTAGAAAGGGGGGTTGGATGGCCGAATGGTTAGCACGTGTGCGCTGTACCATAAAGTCTGCCATTGAGTCAACTGGCGTGGTTTCGAATCCCCGGTTGTACGTGGCAAGGATTAGGGTCGCCTGTCCAACCTCATGGGTTTTCTCCGGGTCCTCCGGTTTCCTCCCACTTCTAAAGACCCCTACGCGCAAGCGAATTATTGAAATAAAATTAAACCATATGTTAGTCCCGAAATGACCTAGTTTGTGTCGAGTGGACGTTAAACCCCATTTCTCTCTCTCTCTCTCTCTTTACTAGAAAGGTAAAGACAATATATATGAAACTCGAGTAAATTATTAATACATAATAATGGCCCACTTGACATGGAGGAAACTGAGTAAATTATTAATACATAATAATGACCCACTTGACTTGGAATGACCCTCCGTAAAAAAAAAATTAGCAATAATGGCTAAGGAGGGATTTCTTGAGCGATTGCTTCAGGAATGTCGGCACAGAAAAGTAGAATGTTAAACCCCATTTCATTTTCAACTTAAAGCGGTTCTTAAATCAAAACAATGATAAATGAAACATAATTGTGAACATATCTGGCTAATCTAAAACCTGTATTTTTGTTATAAAAGACCAGCATGTGCATTGGGACCGACTTTCACTTTTTTGTAAATCAAATAAGAGTCTTGATTCAGGTAAAAACGTTGAAATAAAATGCTGCTTTGATTAGTGACAGGACAAGATATATACAATTAAATAAATAGAATTTTTGTTTTTGACTGTTAAACACAATGTAACTTTCTCAGTAAAACCAACCAACACATCATGTGGAAATAAATTGGGACTCATAATTTTTGCCCAAATCAAAGACAGTCTACTAGTCATTTTATTATTTGCATTAATACACAAATTGAGCTCTGCTAGAAATTCATCTTAGAAATGACTATGCTCTCTTTTTGAAGAAATAAATGAAATTAAGGATGGTAAGAGACAAAACAAACTTTTAGAACCTTACAAATAAATTTGAACATGTAACTAAGTAGCAACTGTAAAGAATGAGTATTATCACCCAATAATACATTCTACAGTAGATATCTCCTTAGAATTTGATTGGTCAGTTGAAAAGGAACTACTTTTTTTGATTTTCAAAAAACAATTCATTTCTTATTAAAAGTAACTTTTTTATACGCCCACATTTTCGTGTGGACGTATATTGTTGTCTCCCCTGTCCGTCCGTCCGCCCGGACGTCCGTCCGTCCACAATTGTTTGTGAACAGTCTACAGGTCACAATCTTTATCCGATTTCAATGAAACTTTAAATATAGGTTTATCACCCTAAGATCTCGGTTCCTTTCGATATTCGCGCACATCGGACCGTAACTTCCTGAATTATGGCCCCTGATTGCACGTAAAAATGCGTTTTTTGGCTTGTGGACCATATAGAGGTCATAATTTTTACCTGATTTAAAAAACCGTATTATTATGTCACCGTTACACCCTAAGAACGGCTGAGTTCGAATTTCGTGAAAATCGGCCCAAAACTGACAGACAAAATGGCCGCCGTTCGTTCTCAAATAGCGTAAAATTATGGTATATCAAGGTTGTGGACCCTATAGAGGTCACAATTTTTATCCGATTTTGTTGAAACTTGAAATGTAAGTTTATAACACAAAGATCTCGGTTCCTTTCGATATTTGCGCATATCGGACCGTAACTGCATGAATTATGGCCCCTGATTGTACGCAAAAACGCATTTTTTGGCTTGTGGACCCTATAGAGGTCATAATTTTTATCCGATTTAAAAAACCGTGTTAATATATCACCTGATTGTACGCAAAAACGCGTTTTTAGCTTGTGGACCCTATAGAAGTCATAATTTTTATCCGATTTAAAAAAACGTTTTATTATATCACCTTTAAACCCTAAGGCCGGCTGAGTTCGAATTTCGTGAAAATCGGCCCAAAACTGACAGATAAAATGGCCGCCCTTCGTTCTCAAATAGCATAAAAATATGGTATATCAAGGTTGTGGACCCTATGGAGGTTACAATTTTTATCCGATTTCGTTGAAACTTGAAATATAAGTTTATAACCCAAAGATCTTGGTTCCTTTCGATATTCGCGCATTGGACTGTAACTTACTGAATTATGGCCCCTGATTTTACGAAAAATCGCGTTTTTAGCTTGTGGACATTATAGAGGTCATAATTTTTATCCGATTTAAAAAAACGTATTAATATATCACCGTTACACCCTAAGGACGACTGATTTCGAATTTCGTGAAAATCGGCCCAAAACTGACAGACAAAATGGCCGCCCTCGTTCTCAAATTGCGTAAAATATGGTATATCAAGGTTGTGGACCCTATAGAGCTCACAATTTTTATCCGATTTTGTTGAAACTTGAAATGTAAGTTTATAACTCAAAGATCTTGGTTCCTTTCGATATTTGCGCATATCGAATTGTAATTTCCTGAATTATGGCCCTTGATTGTAGGAAAAATCACTTTCATTTTAGCTTGTTTTCTATCCATCTCTCGAAAATGTGGGCGTATCCTGCCTGGCAGCCGCTGGTTTTTTTTATTAAAAATGAACTATTGGTATTCAATTGACCTTGATGGAAACACTGGGTCAATATAAAGGACTTTGCAATGATTGAATTGCTGTCAAAAATTGATGTATTACTACGCCATAATGTTCATTAAAAGTGAAATCTACAGCAAAGAATTATATTTATCTATTTGTGCATGAAAGAAGGGATTGGGTGATAAATAAGATCTCCTACTCGTCTTTTTTGATATCAAAAAATATCAACACTCGTTGATAAAGTAAAAAAAACTCGGAAGAGCCTCGTTTTTTGTTACTTTATCAACTTGTGTTGATATTTTTTGATATCAAAAAAGACTGGTAGGAGATTCTCTATTTAACCTGTGTATGATTAGAGTCAGACCCAGCATACTCTGCTCCATTTCAACTACTCAACTCTAACATGTTATACATCAACCAATTGTCCAATTGTTTTACTTTTTAAAGAATTTATTTTCGAACAAATACCATGCCATTAATTCATCCTTTAACAAACATATTTCATTGTAAGTCAACAAAATTTTCAATTAAAATCTTCCTCAACTCAACATGATATTTCGATAATTTTAAATTAACAATAAATTACATATTATAACATACTTCATAACAATATACAGTACAAAATGTAAATTACATACTTTATTTCAATGTTAAATCAGCACAGATCAATGTTTGTGACTTCATAATGATTTAACCAACCCATTCTCACAACATCTTGAACAGAAAAATGTTTATCATAATGCAGTCATATTTTTTCTTTAAATGATTAATTGCTATCATACTTTTTTTTTAGCCAAATCTCATATTTGGAATCATTCTATCATATATATAAGCTAGACTGTAGATCAATTCTTGTTTTTCATTCATAAAATCTATACTAAGTAGGGTAGTTTTGTCCTGGTGGCAACAAAATCCCCTGCTTTTTTTTATGTATTTAAGGCCTCTTTATGGGGATTATCCTTGCACCAGACAGCAAGAATCATTACTAAAATAATTTATTGTGCCAGTATTTTTATTAAATTGATTATCTGAAATGTTTTTAAAACTTGAAATATCGTTAGACATTACAGAGTGCACTATACATATTCCTTCAGAAAATAAACTTTGTAAAACTCAACCAATCACAACAAAATGAATATCTTTTCTCAGGAAAATTACAATTCAGATATATGTTTGTCAAAATATTTAATAATATAATATAATTAACAATAAAAGAACACTGTCAATAATTGAACATTAATGACAATAGAACACTATTAACAATAGAACATCATTTAGTAGAACATAATTAACAAAATGCAACTCTTAAAGCACTAAGTGAAAATATATTAGACAATGATATGAAACATACTGTTAAATGCATTTGATGGACATAAAAAATATTTAATGAATGTATGTCAATCCTATTTTCAGATAATGTTGTAAAGAAGGAATCCCTAAAGGAGCACAACATTTACAAGTTGTTCATTTATCTGTTTCGATATATTTAAAAGTATTGTGATATTAAATATCTCATTGTTCTGATGGTTGATGATAGAAACTTAATGAATAATCAATCAAGATAAGAAATGAAATAGGATATAACCGGGATAATGATGATTGTAATCAAGATAAGACACACTGTATATCAATAATACTTATAATAGATATCTTACTATTTTTTGTCAGACTAGACAATTTACATTGAGTAAACTGATTGCAAGTTTCTTTTTTTGACATACTTAGTCCAGATATAAAACCCTTGGTCCATATTCAAGATTGGCTGAACCTAAAAATATTAAATTTTTTATATTGATGTTATCCCTTTTAGTAAAAAGATTAATTGATAGATCTAACTACCGTGTTTTTATGCTAATTATAAACCAAAGAAATCCTGCAGCATAATCAGTCTTAATCCAATATCAAGGAACATACATATATTTTATTTAACAAATATATGTACAATTATTTATTCATGAAATTTGTAAATATAAATAAAAAGAAAATATAAACAAATACAATATACATAAATATAATACATACACAAATCAGTGACATGGAAAAAATTTGTAAGTCAATTTATCGAATATAAATTTTACTTGAGATTCATATTCTTTGTTTAATTTCCCATAATATGTCAAATGTCATCGGCTAGCTTTAATTGTGTATAGTTATCTACATTTTCAATTTGAAAACAACTTACAGGGTTTTCTATGATGACTACAGTATGAAATAAATTTCTTGGGGTTTAGTTATTTGTAATTATGCAGGATAAACACATAAATCAGAATTTGTGTCTATATTTTGAAGTTGGAAACCCCTCAAGTATAAAAAAATACCCAATTATTTACATTATTTCGTGTTAATTTGTTTAAATATCTTACAAATAAAACATCAAAACTACATTTCAGCAACTTTATCTGTAAAATATAAACCAAGCTAAGAAAACATTTGTATTAAATATTCAAATGTTTTATTTTTTTTATTACCTCAATATCATGAAAAATGACTTGCAAGGTTTTTCCATGTCACTGGATTTTGATTTGAATACATTCAGTGGTGTAGCCAGCTCAGCTCGAGCCGTCCGCCCCCCCCCCCCCTCATCCTGCTCCCAACCAATTACGATCGCTCCAAATAAAGCCAAATTATTAAAAGGTAATCTCCAGCATCGTCCAAGAATGCTACAAGCCAAAACCTCAAAACTTTCACTTGACTTTCAAACCCTTGACATTAACTCTTAACACATGAATTGTATAACCTTATACATTTTTATTGTTTCGTACCAGACAATCCAATTTTTAGTAAAAAAGTAGATGTATTTATCAAACTTGGTACGAAACACACTGAGAAACTCTTAACGAAGAGAAAATACCACTGAAAGAGTCATTGGTATCATATTTACTAAGGTTACCTTAAATGGAGACAAAATTTTCTACAGTGAGCATGCCCCCAAACCGCCTACCTAACTTGCACCCTTAGTGCTCGCTTCATGAGCTTCAGTCATTCAAACCTGAGCAAGCCACCCTCTTAGCAAATTCCTAGCTATACGAGTGAAAAAATAGTTAGAACACCGGAAATATTCTCATTGACAAAAATACAGTTCTCTGATATTATATACAATAAGTACCATTTGCTAATCTTCAGTCTTTATAATAGACAATTTAAGATAGTAGAAACATGGTTTAATAGGTATTCTATTGATATTCTAAAAGTTTTCAAATCAGCTTAAAAAAAAGCACTATAATTCAAATCTAATTCGTTTTTGAGGTGATATGGTTAGGTAAAAGATCAATTGTGTATGAATATGCCTATCACGTATAAGTTTTGGATATGCTAATCATACTTTACACTAGGAAATTCATGGTTAACTACATGATAGTCAAAGCTTACATGGGTTAAAACCAAGAATTTAATTCCAAAATGTTGCCAGCCAAACTTTTCATTCTATTTTGGTTATTCTTTGAAGGTAAAAGTCAGTTGTTTAGTGTTTTACACACCCAAAACTAGCAACAATTCTTAAGAATAACTATTTTCATAGCATGTAACTTGACTGACTGTTAAAATTATGAATCAGTTTTATTCATTTTATATATATCTGGATTAGCAAATACAACCCTACTGGCCAAAATGACCAGCATACCCATCTTATCAATGGTGAGAGACACATCAATGGTTAATAAGTTTACGTATTAAGAAGAAAAGGAATATATATCATCTTGCTTTTCAACAATAATGCAGAGGCTTCTTGAATCTGAGGTAAAAGTAGAAGAAGTTCACCAAATCGATATGGCTGACCAGAAAACTGTGATTGTGTATAAAGTTGTAGAGCTTTCATATATCTCTCCTGTAATTGACCAATAATTGCTGGAGGGGCGCTTGATTTATCATCATCTGTAAAAAGTAAAATATCTATTAGTCACAATCCTTTATTGTGTCATGGTGAATTGGAAGAGTGGAGTAATGTGCCAGCATATTCCATAAGGATTCTGTTTTCTGAATAAAATGTTAACAAAATGCTTGCTGATCTGGACAAACTTTCTGTTTTAATAAATTATGATTGACCTTTCCACAGATCACTCAAATATTAGACTTCAATGAGATCAAGTGGGTTGGGTGGTCAACTAGTCTAACTGTGCTTTTGATCATTAGGTCTGTCATCAATTTAAGTGGCCTGGTTTAGATTTCTGGCTTGGAGGTGACATTATTTTAACAGATTGTATCATATACTATTACATCGTATGATATATGCCGAGCTAAATGAAGATCAGACAGGGGTGTTTCCACTACTATTCTTCATATTGCATTGCTCTTTTATGTGCTATATCAGTTTGCATAGGTATGAAACAGGCTTGATAAACCCTTAAGATTCTACTCGTCCCCATTATAATCTCCTAGAAAGAGAACAACCAATTTATGTTTATATACTTACTTTGACTAACTAGTAGTATAACCTGTAGGCAGACAAATTCTTGTCGTGTCAATTTCAATGACAGAAACTTCGACATTATGTGAGTGACCTTTTCAATGACTGGTCCAACTTCTTTATTAAGTTGCTGTACCGACAAATTGTTTCCAAACGTTTTATTTAAGTACCACTGTATTTTGGTGATGTTCTGTCGAAATAGATCTGTAAACAGTGGACAGGACGCATAGCTTTTCTTCAAGTCTAAAGCACCAAATGCTGTCATTATGAGCAATAAAAGTTCATGCCATTTTTTGGTCAATATCTGAGATTGCACTTCAATGGGAATTTCAGAATAGAAAGGCAATTTTCGGATCCACTGAACCAATTTAATCACAATATCATCTCCAATTTTACACAGAGTCTGAGCTACAGACTCTTGATTTGCTAGTAATTGTTCAAAACCATATGTTTCAGCAATCTCCAATAAAGTGTCTCTTTCAACTAGTTCGGAGATCAGCATCTTGCATTCTTCCATTTTGTTGTCAATGGCAGGTGGTGGGGAAGAAGAGGTTGAGGGCGTGGGAGAAACGGAATGTCGAAGGTTGGCGGGAACTTCGAGTCTGTCACCACATTCAGAGACACTCCGTGGCCAATAATCTTGTTCAAGGGCATTCATATTTCTGAGAGATGTGTACGATGCCATACTGGGAGAAATATCAGACATTGTATCTGAGGAATCTTGACTTTTGTAGCAAATCTTTTTAAAACCGAGATCTTTCTTCTTATGTTTCTTATATTTTACCTGAATTAACCAAAATAGAAATCATAAATACATGGATTATGACAGATCAAATTGTCTTGATTCTTTCCCTATTTTTTCTTATAGCTATTCGAGATCTCGCATCCAGGAGAATATCAGAATGATAAAGTCCTGGTTTTTTTTATCCATTTTTAGAATTTTTGAAGGTTGGATGTTTTTGGGGATTTTCATATGGAAACCTTATTTTAGCTATCCCTTGATATCAAGTTTTTCTATATGAAGATAATCTAAAGGGGCATTATGGGACATTAGATAAAGAGTTGACAGTTCTTGCTATAATAGTTAAAAAATAGATAACGTAAATAGAATATGCTGAATTGCTCCACACGTGATCCGAGATATTAGCTTTTGAATTTTAGGCTACCTTGATCATCATTACTAAAGTCGGTACACACAGGTTTCAAAACGTAAAAAGAGAGAGAAAAATGGGGTTTAAGTCCACTCAACACAAACTAGGTCCTTTTGGGACTAACACATGCTTCAATTTTATTTCAATAATTTGCTTGCGCGTAGGGGTCTTTAGCAGTGGGAGGAAACATTTACTAAGTATACAAGAAGAGTTGTTTTTGAGAAGCAATAATTGTCTTTATCAAATCAAAATATTTTGGGGAAAAAGGCAGTAATTAAAAGCAAATACATTAGATTATACCATTGCAAACAAGCCAACAGTGAGGCTGATGTCCCCCGCCGAAATTGCAAAATAAATAGATGACACATATTAATTAATCGCACATTTATTTTTTTCACTAAGTTTCATCACTCTCTATCAGATAGAATCAAGATTATCTTGTCCCAAACCATCGACAAATGAAATCGATTAGCTCTGCTTAGCTTCAGCTCGAAATGTTAATTATTGAACTCAGTCAAGACATTCACCTAATGAACATCTACATATACATCAAGTTTAAACATTCACCTAATAGACACCTATGCCAAGTTTGAACATTCTACCTCAATTAGAAGGAGAGTTATTGTGTTCCAAAGTTTCTACCAATCAAATTGCTTATCACTCTGCTTACCCTCAGCAAAAAATGTTCATTATCGAACTTAGTTAAGGTATTCATATAATAAATCTATACACCAAGTTTCATCAATCTCACTTAATTAGAACTAAAGTTATCGTGTCCCAAAGCATCAACCAATCAAATTGCTTATCTCTGCTTACCCTAAGCGGAAAATGCTCATCTTCGAACTCCATCAAGGCATTGACCTAATCAACACATACACCAAGTTTGAACATTCTAGCTCAATTAGGAAGAGAGTTATCGTGCCCCAAAGTATCAACCAATCAAATTGCTTATCTCTGCTTACCCTAAGCGGAAAATGCTCAATTAAAAGTTATCGTGTCCCAAAGCATCAACCAATCAAATTGCTTATCTCTGCTTACCCTAAGCGGAAAATGCTCATCTTCGAACTCCATCAAGGTATTGACCTAATCAACACATACACCAAGTTTGAACATTCTAGCCCAATTAGGAAGAGAGTTATCGTGTCCCAAAGCATCAACCAATCAAATTGCTTATCTCTGCTTACCCTAAGCGGAAAATGCTCATCTTCGAACTCCATCAAGGCATTGACCTAATAAACACATACACCAAGTTTGAACATTCTAGCTCAATTAGGAAGAGAGTTATTGTGTCCCAAAAAGTGTGACGGACAGACAGACGGACGGACAGACAGACGGACGGACGGACGGACGGACGGACGGACGGACAGACAGACGGACAGACAGACAGACAGACAGACAGACGGACGAACCCATTTTAATAGTCCCCTGCTTTCTTCGAAAGGCGGGGGACAATAAATACATTGAGATACATGTAGGTAAGAAATGAAATGAAATGAAATGGGGTTTAATGGCTAATGAAGACAGGCATACGCCATACAGTGTGCTATGAGGGAAATTTTGCCCGGCAGCGGCACTATTGCCTACTCTTAAATCGAATTCCAACTGCCACAGGATCTTGGTTTTCCGTCCCACCCGAATGACTAGACAGCTGTGGTTGTCAGGGCCTTGGTCCTGCACCACTGACAAGGGGAAACCACATCGGAAAGAGATAGGTAAGAGGAAATGACAAATGGCTTATAAAATAGGAAAGTTCAAATGATGTTTGGCACATTTTGAAAAGAGTTCCTCAAATCAAGACTGTACCTACCTTATACAAATTATAAACTGCACCTGAATTTCTTCCTCCTGGCATTCTGTCTTCTCGCACGGCTACAATAAGTAAAGAAAAACATTTAGTTTAAGTGCCAAACTATGGGATAAATAAACAAGTTAGAAAGGCAATGTGTATATAAACTCACAATAAACCGACAGATATCTTAAAACAAAACCAACATCGATAAAATCATCCTGAAACCTTTGAACCCACGACCCCTGAACTTGATCCTACTACATACAGTTTCTTTAAACAAAAATTTGACGGTGACCGTAGGACAGACAAACATGAACTTGAGCGCGAACAAACAAATAAAATGAACAGTGTTCAAAAGATTTGTTATGTGGTTATTGACACAACTTGGAAAGAAATGCAGTTTAAGACAATAAAACGGCTGAAGTTTTTAAGAACACATGTAAACATTTGGCCTTGGGTTAGCGTTGGAGTGTTAAAGAGCGGAAAACAAGGTAGAATTCATCAACTAACCATAGATTTAGGAGGGTGTGACACGGTACAGTTCGCGCACTCAGAACTTCTTCAAGTCAATTCTAGAATCAACAGTGACTTAGCAAAGAGATGCTCGGTTTAAACCAATAAGTGCTTGGTTCCTTAACTTGGCGACTGCTAGCCTTTCATCAAATCAATGCCTATTGTTTGTGCGATGTTTTTTACCATCCTCAAGTACGATTAAATTGTTTGTTTTACAAGGAGTGGAAGGTGTTGATTTGAGGAAAAACGGGCCAGTTGGAACTGTGATGTATTTACATAAACTAATTTTTCAAAATTTTGGTATGGTGGAAACAAGTTCAAATTATTCCAACAAAACAAATTTCCCAGAGGAACCAACAATTTTTAACTTAGCAAGCATTCATCTTATAGTGTTAAAAATAAAACTTTAATATTTTCTCATCTAATTTTGTCATTTCATTGCTCTATATTCATCAACTGTTGTGTTAAAACACACCAATACAAATTATTCATATTTTTTTTGTTTTGTCAATACTGGCAATATAAGATAAGATTGCCAAAATTGCCTGGAAGCATTATAATTTATTGACGATTTAAGTATAGCAAATTGTAGCCAATGATTTTGAATGGTTACAGTATTGTTAAAGTATATTAACTAATTATTAAGTCAATAAAAGACAATCTAATGGCAAACCCAAAAGGCAGGGACATCGCAATTAAGCCAGTTTTGTAAGCATATTTTAACAGGAAAAAAATAGGTTTTTTTTTATGCTGTAGTTTTTAATTCCTGGCAGCATGCAAATTGACTGAGAGGTTAATTTTAATCTAGGTTAGTCCTGACATACTTATTATTATCAATCTGTACAAACCTCGATTCTGGGGCATTTTTTATAAATAGCATAAGTCATAAAAATATAAAAATAAATATATCCAACCTGCTAAAACCATGCCCATTTCCAGACATTTCTTGAAGCGACAGAACTGGCACCGGTTTCTCTGGGCTCGGTTGATTTCACAGTCACCACTAGCAACGCATGCATATATTCTCTTATTCTGTACAGTTCGCTTAAAAAAACCTTTGCAACTGAAAAGTAAACATTCGTTGTTTTAGTTTAAGCTTTTATATAAGTTCTTAATATTTTAACATTGCAATTAGGGCTTAAAGATTAGATCTGTATTGAGACATGTCTTTGGCAAACACATTCATCTGTAACAGCAGATGAAGAGCATATAGCCCGGAACGCATCCTGTATTAAACCTTCACTCTTAACACAGTCTTGTCCAGTCTTGTTGCTTGGGGATTATTTATTATGGAACATATTATATGAGAACTAACATTATGCATGAAATCTGTCACCTGCATCCAATATCCTACTCAACAAGTCTGATTAACTTTTTGGATGATTTTCAAACTTATTCAATAAGTATATTCATGAGTATGGAGCACTAGCTATCTTAAGATGACAAAATACTTCATACATGTACATGTATTTAAATCACTTTGTATTGTTCGTAGGTAATTATGATGTGATAATACATGTACATGTATAATAATATTATATAATATGCATAGTTCATTATATGATGTGCTCATTTCATTATAGTATTATATTAGCATTATATAATGTGCTTTTCTCATGTTGTGATGAGCATATCAAGTAATGAGCCATGAAATCAGTCGTCCTTCAAACTTATCCAAGATAAACATCAAAAGACGACACCATCCATTGAGTTTTGTTTAAATTTGACTATTTGTATTCAAGTTTCAGTGTGCCAAAGGTTGTTTTTTTTAATTGAGAGACGGCAACACACAAGTACACATAGACAGAATGTCTAATACATGTAGTCCAACTGCATCTTCCAATGGTGGCACATTCCACCACATCGTGAATACAAAGCAAAACATATTGTGAGTACCGGTATTATTTTTTCCTATAATCCTGGGAACTATTTTTCGTACATGCTAAAAGAGTTAAAACAAGACTCAACTGTACAGTTACATGTATTGGTAAGTTTATGCAACTGAATTTTAAAAGCTGAATAACTCTGAACACCTTAGTGCAAAGGGATAATGATGTGTCAATGTGATAGAATGTTAGAAAGTTTCCCCTACTCATGCCTAAAACCCAAGTTATTTAAATATCAAATTATGAGGATTCCCCACTACTGCCCATCTACTTGATTGAAGATCAAACTTGTGTAGCATAGTACCAGAATTTGGATAATGATCAATAAATTATACCTGTATTTTTTATACAACCTACTTTTATTCACAATTTAAGTCCTAAAAATAAGGACTCTTTACTTTTAGATCAATATTTGTGTACGATATTTTTACACCGAAGATACCCTAATACCAAACAATGATTCTTTGCATTGGCATTTTGTTTATATTTGTTAAATTCTCGGTTCAGTTCATGTTTATATAAACTGAAACACAAAAAAAAGGTTGCCAGTCAACGAAAAGTTCTCTGATCTGTTGACAAGTTTCTTAGGACTTTAATGTTCTGAAGCTTTGAAAAAGATATTTCCAGATTATTACAAAATAATAACTCCTATTCTACAGTGTACCTAAAGAGTGTTTTCAATGTTTTAATATCAAGGCCCGTATAATATCTAAATGACACAAATGACTCTTGGTTTCTGAAATGAAATGGGGTTTAAAGTCCTAGAGTGTGCTATGGGGGAATTTTGCCTGCACAGCCTCTGAGGTTTCTATTGTGTTCTCTATCAGCAATAACAGGAAATGAATATATCAGTGGTCCACCCACTTAGGTTTTAAATGGAGGTAAGTTATCACAGTATTGGAGTGAAAAACCCTTGAGGTCAGAAAGGTGACTCTACTCCTAGTCACGTAGAAGTGGGGAATCGAAACCACGCCACTTGACTCAATGACAGAACTTGTGATCTAAAATGCATGCGTTAAACCCTTTGCCCCCAAAGCTGATAATAGAATGTAGTTCTAAGGATTACTTATTTTTAACGGAATATCACAGCAGGACTTGATGCATGAATCAGAATTTAATTGTTTCATAATCGCAGACACATACTCTTTGGTCAAGATAATATATGTCCTGAAGTGGAGTGTTAGCAAGGTTTTGGTGTATATAAATCTTGGACCAACACAGCTATTACAAAATGGCTCCCATTACAAATATCATTACTAGACTGGAACAAAAAGAAATCCAGCAAGTTCCCCCACTACATGTACCTCTAACCCACTGTGTGGAATTTATCTTTTCTTCTTCTGTGTATGACCTTATTAGACCTGTTTTCAAATGGATTCTTACCAATCTAATTATGTGTATGAACACTTTTTGCATGGGTTTTATTTATAGAACAACATTTACTTACCCTTCGCATGTGATGATTCCATAATGTAGACCAGTAGCTCTATCTTGACAAATTGCACAAATCATGGTCGTTTCTGATTCAGAATTGGTGTCTTTTCTCTCGAGATTATGATTGTGAATGTTTTCGGGTCTGTTGTGAGGATTATCTAATAAATGTCCATTGTATGTAAACTTGCCATTTGTGTAATGGGTGATGAAATCTTTTTCTTTCATAACTTTATCACACTGTGCCCTCTGGGGGTTGACAGTGGCTGACGAACTATTTACATTTGTGGTAGGTAGATTATCATTGAGTTTTTTAGTATTGTTACAATTGTTCACAGTAGCATAAGCTATAGAAGAGGGGACTGTGTTAGTTTTCTGCTTGCTGTTTGAGATCAGGGAAGGAGAAGCAACAAAAATAGGGCCACCAACAGAGCTACATGTAACATGGGTTCCTGTGGCCATCTGACCATGTGAGTTGCTTATAACTGGTATAAACTGGATTGATGTATGCCCAGTAGAACTGGCTACAGATGTCATGGTCATTAATTGTTGTGGTTGTATCAAACATCCAGGTGGCAGGCTAAAACATGGCATCATCAAATTAGACCCAGAATTCGGGGACTTCCAACCGGATAGAAATTCTTGATATGGGGACTTAACTATGGCCACAGTTTCCTTTCTGATGTTTGATTTGGCGCTATGTTTTTGAATTTTTGGCTCAGAAACCTCGTCCATTCCCAAATCTGAACAATAAGCACTGTCTGCTTCACTCTGAGATTCACATTCCGACACGAGGTCATCTTGACGAATGTGAAAAGTGTCAACTTTACAAATTTCACTGACTCTTTTTCTTTTCATCTTGAGATCCCTATAGAGACCAGGCTTCCAAAAATGGTCGTTCATTCCAGGATAATTAGTAGACATTGAGGCAGCAATACAAGCAGTCATCTGAAATTATAAAAATTTGTAAAATATTTAAAAAAAAGTTTGCTTCATAATTCAAAAGATAATGCATCTAAAAGTACAACTTTGTTATGACAATACATACATGTATATGATGCACAATAATAGACATTTCATTGTAAAAGATCAATTAAATTGTAAATCATTTTCTTGAAATTGTCACCACAATTCCTTTACAACTAATCTGAAATATGTCTTCTTTGACTTCAATTAACTCACAAATGATAGATCATCTTTACCCTTTTTACAAAATTTCGCAGGAAATTAGAACAATGCTTGTGAATTTTAGATATTCATAAATACTGCAACTTTTAACTTTAACTCAAAAAGTTTGCTCATTGGTTTCAGTAGACCAACTACTTTACCAATTACATGTAGTTTATTAATGAAGTGATTAATTTATCACCCATTTGAGTGGCAATTAAAACATTTTTTTAAATTTTTTTTATAGAAATTGAGAACAGTGGCAGAAGCAGGATAATTAGTTGAGGGTGGTGTCCTCCTTCCAGAAAATTTGAGAAAAAAAAATTGTGGCGTCAATGGTGATTTGTAGTGCAGATCTTGGCCTGAATATTATAACATTCAATTTCATCAGAAACATCATAATAAGATAATCATTATACTATTATTTGCAAGGGGTCTGGGCCTCTAGGGCCTCTACCTATTTTCAAACAGGTGAGTGCTCCAACTGGGTTAATGAAGACAGGTATATATGCCATACAGTGTGCTAGGAGAAAAATTTTGCCCAGACAGCGGCACTATGGCCTACTCTTACATGTATATCGAATTCCGACTGCCAAGGGATCTTTTACGTGCACGCCAATGCATACACAGGACCTGTTTTTTCATCCCATCGTCAGGCCCTCTGTCCTGCACCACTGACAACAGGAAACCACGCCGGAAGATCCCAATGGACTTTCTCGGCCATGATCACTCTAGAATAGTAAGTAAGCATATTCTCACACACAGGTTTCAAAACGAAAAAAAAGACAGAGAAATGGGGTTTAACGTCCACTCGACACAAACTAGGTCATTTTGTGACATAAGGTTCAATTTTATTTCAATAATTTGCTTGCGCGTAGGGGTCTTTAACAGTGGGAGGACCCAGAGAAAGCCCATGAGGTTGGACAGGCACCCCTACAAGTACGTACAACTGGGGAATCGAAACCATGTCAGTTGACTCAATGACAGACCTTATGATACAGCGCGCATGCGCTAACCATTCGACAATCCAATCCCCCAAACGAAAAAAGCATACTCATTAAACATACATTATGCAAGAGCTAAATCTGCCTATTGCAGGTCTTTCTTTAGGCCGAAAATGTTATCTAAATTATCAATTGGACATTTATTAACATTAAAAGACCTTAATCAAATCTCGATGCCATCTTAAGTTATTTGTCGGATTTTCGCTGGATTTGTATCCGATCTGCTGCTCAACGCTCATTGATTAAATCCAAAAATGGATAATTGTATGTTTAAGCACTTAAAACAACAAGCTAAAGTAAGACATCAGTCACATCATCATCAGTATATCAACAATATGAGTATACCAACAATATATCAACAACCTCCAGTAACACTTTGTCACTTGTACATTTGTAGTTTAAATCAACAACTTGAGTAAACAACTACATGTATCAATAAGAAACATCAAAAGCCTGAGTAAACAACTATCAATAGGAAAAATCAACACCCTGAATAAACCACTATTAATAGGGAACTTAGCCCTAAAAACTTGTCCAGGTGGAAGTGGATGTAAAACTCTAGAAACGAATGAACAAACTAAAAACTTACCAGTGTTCACAAGGATTTACACAAAGGCAAGTTACAGAATCCTCTGACGTTCTTATCTAAGTTTAATCATTTTTTTTTAAAAATTACATTATCTTGATTTGGTGTTATAAAAATATTGACATAATTTGTTTGGGCGGGGGGGGGGGGGGGGGGGGGGGGGGGGGGGGGGGGGGGGGGTGCGGGGGGTGCAAATAGCGTAACATTCCTACAACTTTTTATCAAAGTTCTTCAATCAATTTTAGGGAAAAAAAGGCAAACATAGACTGCCCACCAACAAAACACACCCTCTACAAGCTTTGTCATCCACGCTTTATTTGCAAGATTCAAAAATATAAACTTTGCAGTACCTGTGTAGAGTCATTACACGGTTTCAGTGGAATTGACAGGCAATAACTCTGTGCATAATTCATGCACGACTGTCTATGAGTTTTTGAAAAAGAACAGCATTTTTTAAAAAATTTTTTAAGTGAACTGATTATAAGAATGTCAAGGGCAATAACTTTGGAACATGGGTTCCACGTCGGCCGTATATGCCGGTCAAGACCTAGGGCTATTTAAAATGGCTGTAACTAGATCTGACCCATCGGCCATTTTGATTGGTGCTATAGAGTTGTATACATAATCGTCAACAGATCATACTGAGTGTTGTGTTGATAATTAACAATGAGTGTCTGGTAGTAGAACAATAAAAGTTAATTCATATGTGGAAATCTTATCAAAGGCGCAAAGCTGTCCATTGTTCGTCATTCAGAAAAACTGAGGTCTCGTGTACACATTGGCATGTGCATAAAAGAATCACTGACAGTTTGAACTTGAAATATACAATATAACCCATGGTATATAATACACAGTGTATACTATAACAACTAAAAACAAATTTACTTTCAAGCCTTCCTACAATGTCACAAACTCATTTTTGCTCAAATTTCATAATATTATGTTCCCTTATGCCCTTTTCCTTACCCCCACCCCCATACAAAAAACCTCATAAATTTCTAATATAAATTTTTGAAATAACCCATAAATTCATAATTTATATATCAACTTAAATCTAATGTCAATCATTTTCATCTTATTCATAGTGACCTGAACTGGAAACTTAATTAATACATCCATGCAAAAAATATTAATTCTTGTCACTTTATGATAGTAAATTTATAAATAATCCTGACAGTACAATAGATTTTCCCACTGTGATGCTTTAGCTAAATAAGGGCAATAACTTTTTAAGTAATTTTTGAAATATTCTGAAATATGATAAGCTCCCTCATCTCACTGATCTACATGTATGCAATGAATATAAATTCCAAGTATATTGCTAGAGATTTCACAAGATTTTACCAAGCAAGCAAGGACAATAAATACATGTACTTGAAATACATGTTAAATTATCACTGAAATTCAAAAATTGGAATGCAATAGAATTATTTGTTTTAATAGTTTCAAGTACATTGTAGATCAGACAGGATTTAAAAGATTCTACAAATCAGGCAAGGACAATAACCCTGGAAGTAAATTGTTGAAACACGTGGGGCCTCTTTGACTTGCTAATCTAAGCAATAGACATGGACATGTGTTTTACTCATTTGACAAAATATCTTAAATTGAGAGTAAACATTAGTTATCTCCCCCCCCCCCCCAGCAATATCCCGCTTCTGAATTTGCATCTTAAAATCAAACAAAATAGATAATGGACTGTACCTTGCAAGTATATATGAGCACAAACTCTATAAAATATGATCTTCCGTTGACAGAAAAAAATCACTACACTATTAGTATCCTAATAGAATGTTTCCAGTCACACTGTATATTAACCACAGTATAAATGAAGAGCGAGCTGATCCGCTTGCTACAAAATTTCGAAACAAACTGACAAGTATTGGCAAACTACTTAGTTATACTCTCTAACCACAACACAGTGCACCAAGAACTTTGTTAGATCTGTCAATACTGGTATCGATACATGAGGCTGGTGTAAGCCAACAAACCACAATGTTAAAACTTTGGTTTCTCTATGACCCCCACCTTCAAACGAAGTAAAGTATCTGCTGTATGTGGAGCGGACAAATAAAACAATGGAAACATGAGTGCGTTGTCGGAGCATTTAAACATTGTCGACTTGTGTCAACAGTTTCCTAGCATGAACTTAGTGTAAAGTGATTAACTCTTTTGTGGTATTTGGAAAGCGAGGATTCTTAATTCGCTTTTCTCTACATACCGCTAATTGTGAAGAAAGTAAATGACAAGGTCAAGTAAACAATATACACGAATGTGACCTTCGTTTTATACCTACATGTGCACGTAGATACATGTATACGAAGGTCCTTAACACAATAGTAGACTATATACATGTATGTGTACACGAGTCCATAAAATACAATAATAGACTATATATATTTTCATGGTTTTCTAAATGTATTTATATAATGAAATGAAATCAATGGGATTTATACAGTGCAAGAGTTAGATGAAGAGATGCACTAGGCTTTTCCCCACCCTCATGACAAGAGAAAAATGAATTTGTGTTTAAAACACAATTAAGTAAAGCCGATGAAGATAATGGCAGTGCATGTAAAACCAGCAGTTGCCAGGCAAGAACCCACATTTTGCAAGAGATGGATAGAGAACAAGCTAAAAACAAAAGCGATTTTTCGTACAATCATGGGCCATAATCCAGAAAGTTATGGTCTGAAATGTGCAAATATCGAAAGGGACTGAGCGTATAAAAAGACGTATGTCTAAAAAAATCATACACCTCGGCTGGATACTTCCTGATCTTGAGACACCAGACTTCAGCCTGCATGGCCTATAGGTTAATCTGGAGCTGGGTTTATAATATTTCATAACAACAACATTTCATTAATTTGGAGACTTAACATACATGTATGTATGGCTAGGCTGTGCAACGTGAAAGGAATAATTTTGTCTGGACACCACCGTTTCTGTAAGGTTTCTAAACTAATCCATTGTCAAAAAAATCCAGAATAAATATATGATCATGTTTGTATACTTTTGTCATTAAATTAGGCCTACCAGTAATCAAATGATAAATTTAGCTGTTCAGATTATGGGAAATCCTTGAAAATAAACAGGCTGTGTATCAATTTCAAATCAATCGGAAAATAATTGTGATTAATCAAGGACCATTAAGATGGATGGAGACCGATTAATATAAGCTTTACATATAATTTATTATATATTGTACAAGTTTATAATTGTGTGTAATGTTAAATAAATACTGTTTAAATCAAGGGACATAATTATGGCAGTAATTATTAGAAAACTTTGAAAATCAATAGGCTTCTTTGTCTCATGAACATAAACACTGTGTAACACTATGTATAAATTTCAAGACAATTGAATGATAACTTGAGCCTTTAGAGCTTCAACAAGGGCCACTACTGTGTCACACACAATTATAGGAAATTGTTGAAAATCAATGTGGGCGTATAAATTTGACTATATCTTTCCCTTGGAAGTGCTCCCATCCTGTCCCTAGCAGAAAGGTCAACTTTGATTGAACAAATTTGAATAATCACCAACTGGCAGTGAGTATGACTGAAGCTCAAACTGCACTTTATTTCGTTTCATAGGTTAATTAGAGAAAACAAAGGTTCACTGGTCTAAGACTACAGAATGTGGTCTTAAATCTGATGATCTCTCCATATTTACTTTACTGGGGTCGTGTACTCACTGACTCTGTAACTGATCAATATCACTCCAGACCCAAGGCAGCCATTTTTACACCACTACATATATATATATCTTCATGTTAACAATTAGATTAGGTCAGTAGATGATAAAAACACACAATACTTAAATTAGATACAGTTTTCAAGTATTGAATATAAAAATACACTCTTAATCTCAGTTCAAGTTCATTAATAATTAGATTGAATCAGTAGACGATAAAAACACACAACATTTAAATGAGATATAGCTGATGGGTATTGAATATGAATATATGTATAGTTCTATTCTAGATACATTGCTCATCATACGCCTAATCTTAGATCATGTGAGATTAGTTCATTAGCCAATAAAAATACACTATAATAAAATTAACTTATTGACTCTTGAAAAATAAATTGGTTCTAGATACTTTGCTTATAAAACAAGGCAAGGTAATTTAATAATTTTACTGATAATCTAAATATCTGAATCAATTTTATTAAGTTAAACACATCTAACTACATTAATTAATCTATGAAGAATTACTGTTTTAAATACATGACAAAATGTCTATTAAAAAAACATACTGACAAAGGAAATTAATTCTTTTCCTGTTTAATAAACTAGACATTTTTGATACATGTGACATTACAGAGCCCAGAATCCTTTTGGTTTGGAAAAACAATGGCCTTAACCCTCACCAAGTAGTGTATATGTTATTTTCAATTTTTAAAAGAATTGTTTTGAACTCGAGTTGGTTTATTACTAAATTTTTAATAAACAGGTCTAATATATTTGATGCCACCTATAGATTAACATTTTTATGATGAGATTCATTTGATTTAATTCAGAATGTTAGATATTTTTTTTTTGTTGTAATTAATTTGTTTTCAAACTGTAATTCCTATTTCGCAATAGCTGTTTTCCAGACACCTCTGATTTGTCACCAACTGATAACTTAAACAGAATGCCATCTAGATTCCATTCCCAGCCGTTGACCATAGAATATATTGGCCAAAGTTTCCAAATCTTGTTTACTTAGTCCATATTAGGACAATTCCTTGCATAATTTAACCAATCAAGTAAGAACATTTTGTGCCTTCTTTCATGCATATTCATATTTTTTCACATTCTTTGGCGATCTTAATTTCTACATTATATAATATATATTACAGTGTTATCATGGTTAGCAAGTCCGTTTGCAAGCTTATTTTGAGCAAATTGCTTTGTGCCTGTGATGAAAACTTCCTGGCCAACTCTGCAAAAGTGAGAGATAAAAATAGCCTATGTCTAAACGTTTGAAACCAAAATATTCAGCAGTCTGGAAATAATCGACAAGATTTGATGTGGAGGGTTATGTAACTCATTTTAAAAGTGATGTGGTAATCTCGACTTTCCATCATAATTTCAGTGTTGTAACATGGCGAGAGAGAGAGAGTGCAAGAGAGAGATGGTATTTAACGCCCACTCAACCCAGACTAGGTCATTTCGGACTAACATATGGATAAATTTTATTTCAATAATTTGATCTTGCACGTAGGCATCTTTAGCAGTGGGAGGAAACCGGAGGACCCGGAGAAAACCCATGAGGTTGGACAGGTGACCCCACCCCTTGTCACATACAACTGGGGAATCAAAACCACGCCAGTTGACTCAATGACAGACCTTATGATTCAACGCGCGCATGCTAACCATTCGGTCATCCAACCCCCCAACATGGCTATAGGAACACTTACATGGCAATCTGATTAAAATACAGATCTATATTTTTTGTTTCGTTTTTTTTTTTATACTTTCGATGGCCTACACTACATGAAGATCTAACCAGTTGTAGTGGTAGGTCGCGTCAGGGGTCACTATCAGCGGCTTCCGACCCTATGAAGTGACGACGTCAAACATTTGATTAACCAATCAGAGTTGATGTCAGATAGTTACACATGACCAGGATGAAGGTTTTGGAGTATACAGTTATACATGACTAGGATAAAGTTTTCAGAGTGTACAGTTACACATGACACAGAAATACATGGTTCAACATCCTACTTTTCTGCACCAGCCTGACAAATATAGACATAGACATTACCAATTTTATTCACAAAAATACATGTGCTATGTATAATGTATACATGACTATTAGGACTGTGTATTGCGATACATGTACATGTACTTGACAAAAAGTATTGCAATACATTGCAGTAATGCAATATTTCTATAAGTCAGAGTTTATCACAAAGCACAGTTTTATTCTGAATAGTTTTATTGTTTTTACAGCTTTGGTCTTGGACACTAGTTGACTGCAAAGCCTAGAATATGACTGATTATACAACTTTGGTCTCGTCTTTGCAGACTTATTGTTTACTGCAAAGCCTTAATAATATGACTAAATGTAGTCTTTATCATTTGAATATAAAATAATGATACGCTTATAGTGTATCGCAGACGATCATATTGCAATATATCAATATAAATATAGTAATATTTTTTGACAGCCCTAATGACTATAACCCAGATGATTTTCACAAACACATTCTGCTGCAGACGCAATGTCCCTCTTCCAAATTTTTGGGAGATTTCATTAATTTAAGATAGGTTGCCAGGCAACGAAACATCCGCCCACAGCAGCTAAATCGTCCAGGCAGTCAACAAGAGTTGTCGCATATTTTTACTTTTTTCGGTAATGAAACATTTATAATACACTAAAATCTGATTAAGAGCAACAACTCAGAAAACCATTAGAATTTGTTTGGTTTTTATAAAGTTCTGCCCCATGCTAACGTTTGGTATACAAAACTTTTAATACTGTATCATGGATTTAGCTGTTCCAAGTCATAAAAATTCATTGAAAATCAATATACTTGTTCGCCTCAAGATCTTAAACTCTGTGTATCAATCTGAAGTCAATCGGATATTAACTTTGGCCTCTAGAGCGTCCACAAGATTTTTCAAAGTGATCAAGGGCCATAACTTTGGCAGTAATTATCAGAAATCTTTGAAAATCAATAGGATTCTTCGCCTCGTGACCTCAAATTTAAAGTCAATGAGATTAACTTTAGCCTTTAGAGCATCCACAAGGTTTTTTGAAGTGATAAAGGGCCATAATTCTGGCAGTAATTATCGAAAATCACTGAAAATGAATAGACTTCTTCGTCTCATGATCTTAAACACTGTGTATAAATTTAAAGTCAATCGGATATTAATTTTCGC